GTTCCGTCTCTGCTTCTTGTTCTGGCTCTTTAATTGTACCTAATTCATTCCTACCATAATCCCCTTATATCCACAACATGGCCTTGCTCTACGATGTACGTAGGCATGTTCCTGGACTGCGGAGTCTCGAGCCGACCGCATGAGGTGGCGGTATCCCGAAAGTGGATCTGAAGATCGGCATTGTGCCATCTAACTACGGCCCGATAGAACCCGAGCCTTCAAAGGATAAAAAGGCTATGGATTCAAAAAAATAAGAAAAATAATGGTTGGAACCCTCGACTTTGGCGTTATTAGCACCGCACTCTAACCAACTGAGTTATGGAACCAGACCAGAACTCCTGCCAGTAATTGCCTACTCCAATAATCATCATACATATTAAGGACTCATGGAGACTCGTTTTCTATTTAAAACTACGCGGATTTTGGGGATAAAGGAAATATCGCCGCCAGAAAGAGCACCGGACGATGGCATTCTTATAGCTCTTTAGATAGTATGTTTGAAAATCCCTCGGAATTTCCGAGCACAGTCTGCGGTATATATATAGAACCTGGTATACTCCGTACATAGATGGTTGGGCAACCAGTGTATACCTAAATGTGCCAATAATAGTGTACATGCGGGGTTTCGAGCTGATCCCAAGCCGATGGTATTCTGTCTTCTGGTCCAACTCGATCTAATTGTATATACCCATTAGTTATTCCAAGAATATAGAGAATTTGAATATACCTCTACGAAATAATTCAAGTCAAGGCGCAGAATACCAGTAGAGAAGATCTACTCCGAAACAACATGATAATTGTTGATTTGTTTGTATAGGTGATCAGGAAAAAGACCAGCGTAGCCGAGCAAAAGACATCGGAGGCTTGGGTATTAGCAGATCATGAAGCAAGGGATCAATAACATCGCATCTACTATATACAAAGGGCGCAACAGGAATAAGATCCTTACAAGGTACTTTGTAGGCTCCAGACGCTCGGGCCGATCTAGACCCTCTAGACCGAAAAGTTCGGGGGATCTAATGTCAAAGTTCCGGTGAGTTTTGTGTAGTAGAGGCTTGACTATCGTGACTTTGAAGTCCCTGTCTCTGGTAGACATCCACTATATGTCTAATTCATTCATGATTTGTTGGGAGGTGTACAGTAGATATGTGTACACCGTACGACAGACTATTGTTGCCGAGGACGTACGGGAAAATCAAATCAGGTGACCGAGCCACGGCCGAGGTCGGAGGGCGCGAAGGCGCATCGAGCCAATCAGAGGCCCCAAATTTCTTGACTCAGAGCGGTCGGCCATTTTGGGTTAGGCGTTTTCTCGGAAACCCCAGAGACGAGTCACTGGTAATCTTCAGCGGTCAATTGGCACTCATTTTTCTTTACTTTAAACCACTCTACCCTCAGTCTTCCTGGCTTGGCCGTCATTCACGATGATGCCTTTAAGACCCTCAAAAAGTGCTCTGCGAGCATTCCACCTCCAGAAGCAGCTTGCTGGACGTCGACCTTTTTCTACCTCATTTGTGGCTTCGGCCGCTTCGCCCCACCGCTCCTCTGTCCAAAAGCGTGCTCAGAGCACAGCTACGGCTTCAAATCCGTGAGTTTTTTTGTGCCTCCTATGATCACAATGTAATTGCAGTTTGATTCTGAACTTTTTAATCGTCAGGGAGTCCAGACCCGTGCCCAGTCCGTCATTCAACCAGGAACCCCATCGCAATGAGATTTCTCCCTTGCAACACCGCCAGCTCCCCGAGCTCGATGACTCGTATGTTACCCTGAGGACATTTTGGACACATGGAAACTAATTAGTTGGTATAAAGAATGGTTGGAATGAGTGGTGGAGAGATCTTCCACGAGATGATGCTTCGCCAGGGTGTGAAGCACATCTGTGAGTACTTCATGCTTGATATTGCACAATTGGCCGGTTCTAATATTTGATGTGCAGTCGGTTACCCCGGTGGTGCCATTCTCCCCGTTTTCGATGCTATCTACAACTCCAAGCACTTCGATTTCCTTCTTCCCAAGCACGAACAGGGTGCTGGTCACATGGCCGAGGGTTATGCCCGTGCCTCTGGCAAGCCCGGTGTCGTTCTCGTTACTTCTGGCCCTGGTGCTACCAACGTTATCACTCCCATGCAAGATGCTATGTCAGATGGTACCCCGATGGTTGTTTTCTGCGGTCAGGTCCCTACCAGCGCTATTGGAACCGATTCCTTCCAGGAAGCCGATGTGATCGGTATCTCCCGTGCCTGCACCAAGTGGAACGTGATGGTCAAGTCCGTTGGTGAGCTACCTCGCCGCATCCAGGAAGCTTTCGAGATCGCCACGAGTGGTCGTCCAGGTCCTGTCCTGGTTGACCTACCCAAGGATGTCACTGCTGGCATTCTCCGCAACCCTATTCCCATGCACAGCACTGTCCCTTCGCTCCCTAGCGCAGCTACCGTGGCGGCCCGTGAAATGAGCAGGAAGCAGCTTGAGAGCACCATCAACCGTGTTGCTCACCTCGTTAACATTGCCAAAAAGCCTGTCCTCTACGTTGGACAGGGTCTCCTTGCTCGCCCCGATGGCCCTATGATCCTCAAGGAGTTTGCTGATAAGGCATGCATCCCGGTCACCACCACCCTGCAGGGTCTTGGTGGATTTGACGAGTTGGATCCCAAGGCTCTCCACATGTTGGGTATGCACGGATCCGCTTACGCCAACATGGCTATGCAGGAGGCTGATCTGATCATTGCTGTTGGTGCCCGTTTCGATGACCGTGTGACTCTCAGCATCCCCAAGTTTGCGCCTCAAGCCAAGCTTGCCGCTACTGAAGGCCGCGGTGGTATCGTGCATTTCGAGATCATGCCGAAGAACATCAACAAGGTTGTCCAGGCCAATGAGGCCGTGGAGGGTGACTGTGCCGACAACCTCCGTCTTCTTTTGCCCCATGTCAAGGCTGTTTCCGAGCGACCCGAATGGTTCGAGCAGATCAACGACTGGAAGAAGCGCTTCCCCCTGACACTCTATGACCGTCAGACCGAGGACGGTCCTATCAAGCCCCAGGCTGTTATCGAGAAGCTTAGCGAACTCACCGCTGACCGGAAGGAAAAGACCATCATCACCACTGGTGTCGGACAGCACCAGATGTGGACTGCCCAGCACTTCCGCTGGCGTCACCCTCGTACCATGATCACCTCCGGTGGTCTCGGCACTATGGGCTTCGGTCTCCCCGCCGCTCTTGGAGCCAAGGTGGCCCGTCCGGACTGCCTCGTCATCGATATCGATGGTGATGCTTCTTTCAACATGACTCTTACTGAGCTTTCCACCGCTGCTCAGTTCAACATTGGTGTCAAGGTCCTCCTGATCAACAACGAGGAGCAGGGTATGGTCACTCAATGGTAAGCTGTTCCCTCCGGTCTTCCTAGTATATTTGGCTTACTTTTTTGTTACAGGCAAAACCTCTTCTACGAGGATCGTTACTCCCACACTCACCAGCAGAACCCCGACTTCGTCCCACTTGCCAAGGCTATGCGCGTCGCTGCCGACAAGTGCTTCAAGCCCTCCGAACTTGAGGAGAAGTTGAAGTGGCTGATTGATCACGATGGCCCTGCCCTCCTGGAGGTCATCACTGACCGTAAAGTGCCCGTTCTTCCTATGGTGCCTTCTGGCCGCGGTCTTCACGAGTTCTTGGTCTACGATGAAGGTATGCAAACCCCTGGCTAGTGATTTAGGAAACAGCATTAACTCATTTATTACAGCCAAGGATTTGGAGCGCAAGGAGCTGATGCGCCAGCGTAATGTCGACTTCCATGTCCGGAAAGAGTAGGTGACTAGCCAATGTCACCTCGACAATTCATATTTCTATACTTTGATATCCATGGCGTTTCTTGGCTGGTTCACCAAAAGCGATTAGGGCAATATCTGTCTAAAGATGAACAAAAAATTTGTCAATCGGATTGCTCTTGGAGGTCTCTTTGGCAGAGAAGTTTGGTGCACGCGGGTTCTATATACCTGTTAGGCTTAACCTATCGCTATATCCTTGAAACTACCATGGTGAATTGCATGAACACGTGCTCCACCATGGCCTTTGATCGATGTTGGCCTTCTCTCTTGCCATGTTGTTCCTCTTGTATATAATCATTTGACGTCTCGGGTTCCTCGATGGGACTTGGGAAATTGATATGTTTGGGTTCCATTAAATAGGGGCAGTTAGTCATTGAAAGCATTTACCTCTTGTTTCATTACGCGTCTATGAACACTTCCTTGTATGTTTATCATCCTAGATGGCTTTTATATTTGTTACTTAAAAATGTACGTAGCTCCAGCTCTGGTGGTGTTCTTTCATAATCTAAATGTGGAACCACCTTCCTAAACGGGTAATAAGTTGGAAAGCAGAGGGCAAGCCATATAGGAAGCAAAGTAAACTGCATACATTCTAGCTATTGCTTTGCCTTTTGGCTTAATAGAGCATGTCAATAAAACATGCAGTCAAAAACGAAGAGCCAAGGCTGGATATGCCTAACGGATGGTAACGAAAGAAGCCTACCCACATGGCAGAGCATACTTATCCAAACAGGAGATTATACCTTCGCACCTGACACCTTTGCAAACAATATCTCTTTCTTTCCGTCCCATTAACACGCTCGCTTTGATCACGTTCTTTCATATACCCTAGGGCTTGCATACCGCACAGCAAACAACCATTACAGAGTAGCATGTTATATTCCCCTCAACCACCTTAACCTTCACAAATCACACCTTCTTTTGATACCACCACGCTAGAGACATTCATTTTAACCATCTTGTTCCTATCAAGCACCTGACTAGGGAATGATACTAGATCATGGACTCTAAGAGGTATGGTTTAGATCTCTCTTACTTTTGCAAGATATGACAATCGATTTGAGAGATATCTGAATATGGTTCGAGAACCTCATTGCTAACCCATTTAATCTATAAAAGGCTGTGCCGTGATTTCGCCAAAGGCAATTGCCGATGGAAAAACTGCAAATTTGTTCATGCAAGCAATGGCCAAAGTCAAAGCCACAGTCCAACAATCCCAGCAAGCCCAGCAAGCCAGGTCCAACGTCCTGAGCCGCTGCCCCGAAGATCTTGTATCTTGCCAAATGCAGATAAGGAGTTTCGAGCATGGCAAAGCAGCATTCCTCTACGCTCGACGGTCACTCGTCCATCCTCTGGGAAGAAAACAACTCTCTTCCAGAAAGCGAGGGAACTGATTGGATCTGACGCCAGTATTCGACAAGAAGTCATCCGAACATTGGCCAGTGAGGATGGCCTGCGCCTCATCCTGGACCTAGTCCAGGAAAACTTTGAAGAAATGAATGCCACAACCAGAGACCTGCTTTTCAAGACTCAGGTGCTACCATTTCTAGAGACAATCACCAACCCCGAGGTCGCATCCTCTCTAGTATTGGAACAGGCAGTGGGCACAATCTACAATGTCTTGTTTGGACTTGACGGATCCAGAGCAGCGCGATGGCTCAATTTCATCTGTGGCGTTCTCGAGATCGACACCACCAACGAAGGCAGTGCCATGTTACTGGAGGCATCTCTCCACACGTTCTCTCGTATCGCGGACCTGAATTCCACTGCTCCTGTCCAGGATTGCCTGCATGCCGTTGCCCAGAGATTTGAAACTGTGTTCACCTCGATGAATGATAAGAATGGAATGAGCGGCAGACTTTACCAGTCTCGGATGCACCTCGATCGTCTTCTTCAGCGAATGGAGACTGGAAACTCTCTCTCAACTGGTACCACGGAGAACAAAGTCAAGAATGAAAGCAACGTCGCTTTTGTCGCCAACCGCGAGACGCCCGGCGGCAGACACAACAATGACTTTGACGATATCTGTCAGATCAAGATCATGCCCACCTTTGAAGAAATCTGCAGCCTTCGAGGGGAGTATCTGCCCGTCAATAACCCACTTCAATGGCACATTGATGGTGTCGACGGATTGCTAGATCGAAACTTTCGGTTGTTGCGAGAAGACACCGTCGGTCAACTTCGAGATGCAATCCACCACGAACTAAGTCCCCGTGCGCAGAGATCGCAATTGCGCAGGTTCGTATATCCCAATTCCATTGTGGTCAAGCTCGAGTTCAATTGGCTTTGGGGGTTTTACTTCGAAGTCGACTTCCCTCAACCTGCTGGAGTAAGAAACTTCACACCTAAGGCCCGAGAGATGTGGTGGCAGAACTCGAAACGTCTACAGCCCGGGGCGCTTGTGTGTCTAATCGTTCAAAAAGACGTGGTTGTGTTTTGCACTGTGACACATCGTGACATGTCACCGAGGTACAGAAAGGATACCCCCTCACAGGATCACGTCCCCCCAGAGAACAAGGCAAAGCCAAGAACTTTATGGAAGAGCGCCACGAGAGGCTCAGTTATGTTGATGCCAGTTGATTCTCGGTGCAACAACACTCAAGTCGTTCTGGACCTTTTCGGCTCCAAAAAAGCCACTATGTCTCTGGTGGAGTTTCCAGGAGTCATTCTTCCAGCTTTTGAACCGGCGCTCAAGGCACTTCAGTCGATGAAGAGAGCCAAAAGTCTGCCTTTCTCGGAGCTGTTTGTCCCGTGGACCTTTGACGATTTCAACTTATCCGACATGGCCCCTCCCTTGTATGCTTTGCAGCCTGGCTTTGCTTTCAATCTCCGCTGCCTCACGAAGAATGATACGAATTTCTACGTCCGCGTTGATCAACCATCTAACGTGAAATACGTACAGGATAATTCCACCCTGGATGGTGCACAGGCTCATGCATTGATCAGCTGTTTGAAAAGAAAGCTCGGTTTGATTCAAGGGCCACCTGGTACCGGCAAGAGCTACACTGGTGTGGCTCTTATCAAAGTCTTACTGGCAAACAAAGACGCTGCTGCTGGAGGAAACCTGGGGCCCATATTATGTGTCACATACACCAATCATGCTCTTGACCAGCTTCTTGAATCTTTACTGGACAACAAGGTCACATCGCAAATTGTTCGTATTGGATCACAGTCCAAGTCGGAGAGGTTGGAAAGATTCAACCTTCACATTGTTGCGAGAGATACACCAAGAACAAAAATGGAGAAAAAAGAACGATGGAGTACAGCTGAGATACTGTCATATTGCGAAGAAGATTTTTGCGCGCTTGACCTGAAAAAGGAGGTCTCCATTGCGCGTCTCAAGTCCTATATCCAACGGACAAACCCCAGCCAACATAATCAGCTATTTTCACTCGTCCAAGAAGATGGTTCTTTGAGAGTACAAAAAGACAACCCCCAGACCGCGATCAACTCCTGGGTGGATTCAGCGCCTGCAGGCAGTGCTCGTGCACGGCCTGTGGAGGAACTCAAAAACATCAATGTCTTCGAGATGTCTCGAGAAGAACGACAGCTTCTTTACAACCGCTGGTGTCGTGATTACCGGGCAGAAGTTGAAGAAAGAGTTAGGCGAATCGTTTCCTCTCACGAGATTGCCAAAAAGGGATATGATAGCGTCCAGGATGAAATGCACCTTCGCTGCCTGGCTGAGGCAGATGTCATTGGCATCACTACTGCAGGACTTGCTCGCAGATTGGATATGTTCCGAAGACTTCAATGCAAGTTCATGCTGTGCGAAGAGGCTGGTGAGGTTCTTGAATCTCATATTCTTACTGCGTTTCTACCTTCTGTTGAGCATGCAGTCCTCATCGGCGATCAGCAACAGCTTCGCCCTCAAGTCCAGAATTACGATCTTTCCAGCGAGAATCATCGAGGTGGAGCACAATATTCACTCGATATTTCCTTGTTTGAGAGACTGGTGAGCTCAAACAAAAGCCCCATGGACTGTGGAGCTCCTTTCAGCACATTGGAAACACAGCGTCGAATGCATCCGTCTATCGCTCGTCTGGTCCGTGAAACCTTGTATCCAAGTTTGAAGGATGCTCCATCCGTTTCAGAGTATCCGGAGATTATGGGGATGCGGAAAAGACTATTCTGGTTGGATCACCGGCATCAAGAGGGAGGATCTGACGGCGATTCCATGTCAACCTCTCACTGGAATAGTCATGAGATTGATATGACCGTTGCGCTGGTCAACCATCTGGTTCAACAAGGCGAATACAAACACGGAGACATTGCAGTGTTGACTCCGTATCTGGGCCAGCTCCACCGACTACGAAAACGGTTCGATGAACTCTTTGCCATTATGGTAGGGGACCGTGACCGAGTTGAGCTCAAGCAGGCGGGGTTTGCAGATTATGAAACTAAGGATAAGCCCACGATCAAAGCAGCCTTGTCAGAAACTCTTCGCATGGCCACCGTGGACAATTTCCAAGGCGAAGAAGCTAAGGTTGTTGTGATATCTCTAGTCCGCAGCAACGCAAAGAACCAATGCGGCTTTCTGCGTACTTCCAATCGGATCAATGTCCTGCTGTCGCGAGCACAACACGGCATGTACATCATTGGCAATTCGCAGACCTCAATCCATGTTCCTATGTGGGCTCAAGTCGTGAAGATTCTGAGACAAGAACACAATATCGGAAAGGCCTTGGAGCTCCAATGTCCTCGCCATCCAGATACACCGATTGTGGTCTCGACACCAGAGGATTTTCCAAAGTTCTCCCCCGAAGGAGGTTGCAACCTGCGCTGTGTCAACCGGTTGCGCTGTGGACATGCCTGTGTCCAGAAATGCCATTCGGATGTGCTTCACAACGCTGTCTTTTGCCTAGAGCCTTGCCCTCGATCGTTGGGTGGCTGCAATCACCCGTGCCCCAAGCGATGCGGGGATCGTTGTCCGGAAAAGTGCATGGTCAACGTATACCAAAAGGACAGGACACTTCTTTGCGGCCATCCAATGCCAGACCTTCCTTGTTGGCAGGATCAAGATATCTCCAAGGTCCGCTGTCTGGTGCCTGTGGACAAGACGATCCTAGGGTGCAGTCATACCACCTCACTGCCGTGCCATATCGATGTGGAAGCACAAGACTATCGCTGCCTCGCTCAATGCCGCAGCCTCCTTCCTTGTGGACACTTGTGCAAGAAGATGTGTTACCGCTGCATCACCAAAGGACCTGAGAGCGTCCCAGCTAATCATGGAAATTGCGAACAACGGTGTGATCGGAATCAATCTACATGCGCTCATACCTGCAGCATTCCTTGCCACGCTGAGAAGCCCTGTCCTCCATGCAAAGCTCCTTGCGAGGTGCACTGCGGCCATTCCAAGTGCCCACGAAAATGCTATGAGCCATGTACTCCCTGCGCGGAAGAAAAATGTCTTTCAGCGTGCCCTCACAGCGTCTGTTCAATGCCGTGTGCAGCCCCTTGTGACCATGTTCCATGTTCCAAGCGATGCGAGAAGAAGCTCGAATGTGGGCACCAGTGCCCGTCAGTGTGTGGAGAAAAATGTCCCTCATCCTCCTTTTGCCAAACCTGCGGAAATGAGGACATCCAGAATCATCAAGTCGATTTCATCCTGGGTGAAACGTACAGAGAAATCAACCTTGACGAAAACCCATGTGTATTCCCCAAGTGTGGACATTTCCTGACAATCGAAAACATGGATGCGCAAATGGACATGGCTAGCTACTACGATGTCGACGCCAGCGGCAAGCCTGTCTCTATCTGCGTATCATTGGCACCGTTCTCGATTCAAGACATCAAGACATGCGCCACCTGTCGTGGCCCATTGCGAGATATTTCCCGATATGGTCGGCTGGTTCGCCGAGCTATCCTTGATGAGTCAACGAAGAAATTGATCATCTTCCTCAATCAGGAATATGTCCCTCTTGCGCAAGAACTTCCCCAGCTTGTCCGTGAATTGCATGAATGTGATGGCCAAAGAATGTATCCATGGCCAGCGGTGATTGAGATATCTGGGGCACGAGGCCATCAAATCCAGAGCATGGGCGAGATCATCCAGAGCACAAATCCAGGTCGATGGGATGCAATCCTTGACCTGCGAAAGCGTGTCGATCTCTATCGGCGCCATGTGAAACCCGAAGAGCAACCCTTTGAAAGAGTTCGGAGAATGATCGAAAATGCTCGACAGCGCCAAGGCCTCACAACCAACCCTGAGCATGTCGATAATGTACTGCAGACAAAAGGCTTCCTACAAGGCACCGCCCTCTTGATCCGCCTGGACATTGCTTTGATTGTTGACCTTTTGGATCTCGGTTCCCAGGGACGACCTCACTTGGTCGCACCTCGATTCGAGCTTGACCTACAGAAGATGAAGGACGATTGCCAGACCCTCATCCGCCACGCGGCCAGTCACCATCGACTTCTACAGCAGGCAGAGGGTCATATTTTCTTAGCACAGCTCTATGCCCTGGAACGAGCACATTGCTTGACTCCAGAGAAGAGGAACAATATCTTGATGCATGGCCAGGCTTCCATTCAGAAAGCCAAAGGTCTTTGCGATGCGCACCCAGGCCAGACACGAGGACTGGCAGATGAAGTTCATAGCGTGGAGAAAATGTTGCGCGGAGGCACATTCTACACAATTATCACCAACGAGGAACGCATGTCAGTCCTTTCGGCGATGGCTCAAGAGTTCAGGGGAACTGGACATTGGTACTATTGTCGCAACGGACATCCGTTTACCATTGGAGACTGTGGGTTGGCTCGGGAGATAAGTCGCTGTCCCGAGTGTGATGCCCCGGTGGGAGGTGAGAGTTCGGAATTGGCAGATGGAGTGAGACTGGCGGTAGACTGGGATCTGGACAGGGAGAGATTGAATCTGTAGGGGGAGATGGGTTGATTCTGTTGCTCTTTGCGCTGCTCATTCTTTGTGTGCATCCTTTGTGATTAGGCAACTCAATTTGCGTGCCGTACAGCAGGTAGTCAGGACACATTGAAATTTTCTACTTTGACTCTTTGACTCTTTGAAGATACTATAAATATAGAAGTAAAAGCTTTGAAGCTTGAAGCCGTGAAGGTTTAAAGATGAAAGCTCTGGCGATGTAAGAGTGGAATGTTATGAGCAGCCGCTATCGGCTGCCGTAAGAAGTTCACGGGTGACGTCTCGGGGAGTCTCAAGGTGACACGCCTAAGCTTATGCACTCACCTCCTTCCGCTTTCCCTCCCCCATTATTCCCACCTTGGTACTTTTTTTATGAATTGATTCGCATGCACTCTCGCTAGCTCATTGTCTTTGGCATTGCATGTGTTCACCCTGCTCTCCCCACAGTTTCCGCCCCTCACCCGTTCCATGATGGCTAGCCCACCACCCGTCACCGAGGACCAGAACCGCCTCCTCGAGGAGGCATTGGGGGTGGTGAGGCAGCAGTCGAGTCTGATGCGCAAATGCCTAGAGACTCCTGGAAAGCTCATGGATGCGCTCAAATGCGGGTGAGCTCCCCCATGAAACTCCCCAGGCAGCGACCTCGGAACGTGCGCAATGGGTTCGTATGCTAACCGCTTGAAATCAACTTCTACAGATCGACTCTTGTTTCCGAATTACGAACCCCCAGTCTCGGTCCGAAACAGTATTACGAATTGTATATGGCCGTTTTTGATGCTCTGCGACACCTTTCCGTCTACTTAAAGGAGAACCACCCCGTCAACCATCTTGCCGACCTGTACGAGCTCGTTCAGTATGCCGGCAATATCGTCCCCCGCTTGTACTTGATGATCACCGTAGGTACTGTTTACATGTCCGTCGAAGATGCGCCGGTCAAGGAGATCATGAAGGATATGATGGAGATGAGCCGAGGCGTTCAGCACCCGATCCGTGGCCTGTTCTTGCGATACTACCTCTCTGGCCAAGCACGGGATCATTTGCCCCTGGGAAGCGGTGATGGCCCAGAGGGTAACATGCAGGATTCGATCAACTTTGTTTTGACGAATTTTGTTGAAATGAACAAGCTCTGGGTTCGGCTTCAGCACCAGGGCCCCTCACGAGAGCGGGATAGGCGCATACAAGAACGACGTGAACTGGAGCTGCTTGTCGGTAGCAACATCGTTCGACTCAGTCAGTTGGTTGATCTTGAGGGGTACAAGTCCGGTATTTTGCAAGCGCTTTTAGAACAAGTCGTACAATGCCGAGATGTTCTCGCGCAAGAATATCTCCTGGAAGGTACGGCTCCTTTTTTTGGAAGATACTCTTGCTTGGTCCATTTGCTAATTTGATCAACAGTTATCACGAAGGTCTTCCCAGATGAGTTCCATCTGCACACCCTAGACCTTCTATTGTCTTCCATCGCCAGACTTAACCCAAACGTGGATCTGAAGAAAATCGTCATTGGTCTTATGGACCGCTTGTCTTCTTATGCCGCAAGGGAAGCGGACTCGGCAGTGGAGCCAGAAGTACGAAAAAAAAGCGAGGAAGAAGCTGTCGCCAAGCTATTGCAAAAGCTCGAGCTTGCCAAAGAAACCAAAGCCGAGGAGTCGAAGGAAGCCAGCATCAGCACCAGCACCGATGAAACTTCCAAGGAAAATGGTACCGAGAATGGCGAAGCAGAAACACCCAGCGAAAGCCCTGAGCCTGCTGAACCTCCAACGGAAGAAAACCAGGTTGAGAGTGGGGATGATGCTAAGCCTGGTATTCCAGCAGAAATCAAGCTGTACGATATCTTCTACGACCAAGTGGTTAATTTGATCCGAACGCGTGCATTGCCGATTCAAGATACCATGGCGCTGTTGGTATCACTTGTCAATTTGGCATTGAATACCTATCCAGATCGGTTAGAGCACGTTGACCAGGTCCTGGACTTTGCGACGCAAAAAACTGCCGAATACACCGATCATGCCGATTTGCATTCCGCACCAACCCAACAACACATCCTCCACCTTCTCAATGCTCCTCTTAAATCATACATCTCGATCTTCACAGCCTTGGCCTTGCCACATTACCTGCCACTACTGGCCTCACAGTCGTACCCCACAAGGAGGGCTGTTGCGGGCGAGGTGATTCGCAGTCTTTTGAGGAACAAGATCTTGATATCCACACCGGAAAACCTCGACCGTGTGCTCCAGGCGGTAAGAGTATTGATCAAGGAAGGCATGCAGCAGTCTGCTGGATATCCCGGGTCACAGTCTCAGCGGCGGGGAGGAGAAACCGATGAAACGGTAGAAGAGCAAGGGTGGCTTGCGAGACTCGTACACTTGATTCAAGCATCGGATAATGACACCCAGCTAAAGGTAAGATCACTTGCCAGATGTGTTACACCTATAACTAACAGTCTGTGACAGCTTCTCCAAGCAACGCGCAAGGCATTGGCCGATGGTAATGAACGAATCCGCTATACCACTCCTGCGATCATAACGGCCTCGGTCCGATTGGCCCGCAAATTGAAGTCGCGCGAACATTACGACGACAATTGGCAATCACAGTCGTCGGCTCTATACCGATTCATGCACCAGAGCATCAACAATTTGTACCAGCGCGTAAATCCAGGTTGCGCCGATCTCTCACTGCGACTGTTTGTCATGTGTGGCGAGATTGCCGATCAAACCGGATTTGAGGAAGTTAGCTACGAGTTCTTTGCGCAGGCATTCACCATCTATGAAGATGCCATTAGTGACTCACGCGCCCAGTTCCAGGCCGTCTGCATTATTTCGGGCGCCCTACATGGGAGTCGTGGATTCTCCAAGGAGAACTATGACACACTCATTACCAAAGCTGCGCTACACGGAAGCAAACTCCTCAAGAAGCCTGATCAATGTCGCGCGGTGTATCTCGCAAGCCACCTTTGGTGGGTAGTTGAGAACCCTCAACGCGAAGAAGATGAGCCTAAGGGTGTAAGTTTTATCTCCAACTCGAATTACAATATCTTAGTATCTTTCAGCTGACATCAATTTTACAGCTCTACCGCGACGGCAAACGGGTCCTCGAGTGCCTCCAGCGCGCCCTCCGTGTTGCCGATGCGTGCATGGACACCGCTGTCTCCGTCGAGCTCTTTGTGGAGATCCTCAACCGCTATGTCTACTATTTCGACCAGCAGAACGAGACCGTCACTACCAAGTACTTGAACGGTCTCATCGAACTAATTCACTCCAACCTGCAGACCAACGAAGACGAGCAAAATGCTAACCTTGACGGCCCGAAGCGCCACTTCTATCGCACGCTGGAGTATATCCGCTCTCGCGAATACGAAGGCATTGTGACAGATCCACCGAAGTAATTGCCGAATGGATTTCCAGACCATTTTGGTCAAGACGCACCTCCCGGTCATCTTCTAGAAGCACTGTATGTCATTGATACGTGGGATTCCTGCTTTGATCCTCCTGGAAAGACTTTTTTGTTTGCTCGACTTCATTTCCTTGGTCTTTTTTTGTCTTTCTCTTGTTCCTGGAAGCCTGCCTCTTTTTCTCTTGCTGCTTCTCGGATTTCTTTCATTCCTAGTATATACAAGTGTATCATTGTCTCCGGATAACACCATACCCTTTTCAGCATGATTTGTATTGGCCATGGACAACATCTTTTTTACCTTTTTGTAGAACAAACACGCACCAGTGTAGCTCCGTGAAGTTGATCAATCATAATAAATATGACCGACCATACCTATATACTTATATATTCATATGAGGAGCCGTACCAAATTTCTTCCGGAAATATATATCCAAAACCTACCCAAGATGTTTCTCTACGTTGCTACGTTCTACGCAAAAAGCCAACAAACGAAAGCCGAAGAAACCTTCGATCATGCAATTGGTCAAGGACGATGACGGAGTGGGGGATTAACCCTATCTCCACGGATATCGCTGCATAATGTAGAAAGGCCAGAGACTCATACCGTACATGAAACAAATCCGGATGCCGTACTTCGAAAAGTAAGGCATTCAAGCATTGGAAAAACACCAAGCAAATAAACAACCCATATCAATAGCAGTGACTCCTTCGGTTAGAAAGATGTAGACAGATGTGTGATTATGACGTGAATCCATGACGCTTCAGTAAAAAGGGACGAGAAAAAAAGAAATGAAAAAGAAATAGATGAGGGCATTTCAAAGTCGTTCCAGCAAGAGTGCGAAAAAGGAGGCCAAGAAGAATACTCAAGGCGGATTAGCATCAAATCATGATCAGGATAGAGAAGTCCCGAATAAGCCAGTCGGAGGCGAAGCATACTGCCGCAGCACAGAGGGCCCACCAAATCCGCCGAAGGGGGGCTGGGTGGCTGTTACTGGGGATCGGGCTGCCGATATCCCCAGGCACAATGCTGCCCCGATGGCCGGAGACCGCGCTGTTGGGATCGGGCTCGAATCGGACAGACTGGCCATTCGGGCCTTCCTTGATAGAAAACGATCCGCCGCCATTCTGGGCACTACCTTCCGTATCGCAGATGTCAAGCATTTCATCCAAAGAGATCGATGGCTCGCCTGAGTTGCGCAATTGCTCCACCTGACCGAGAACAAGGTTCACATCGTGGAAGCTTCCAGTACCGTTCTGCGGGCTGGTCATCGTGTTCAACTGCTTGCATGCTTGGATGACCAACAGGCGAATTGTAACGGGCCGAGAAGTGTGGGACCGATGATGAACACCCGCTGCGAAGGCATTATTAGGAGGCCAGCCAGTTCCAGCAGGGGCGGGTCCCCATGCGGAAGGGAAGGGGGAGCCCGCAAAGGGCGCCGCACTCCATGTAGTGTTACCCATTGGAGAACCAACCGCGAAGTGATTTTGTGGGGTACCTAGAGGATCCGAGAACAAGGACGATCCTTGGAAGCTCGCTCGCGTTGGCCCCGGGAATGCCCCAGGTGCGGGGGCACCAGGCAATGATTGAGACAGGTTTGACGGATATGTAGCATCAGTGTCATCCAGAAGCGCACTGCTACCTAGATGAGCACTCAAGCCATCCACTTCCCGTTGCGCTGAAGCATTGCCATTGTTCTGCCGATCCTGTGCGGAGCTGGATGGGCGTTTGATAGGGCTTGGCCGTGTGATGGGGAATGGCTGGGTCCCAGACTCTAACGGGGAGCGGTCAAATGAAAGGGAGGGCTGCCTGGAATGGGCTTTTGACAGACCGGCTGGCTGCAAGGGGAAGGCCCCAGGCACTCCATGGTTGCCAGCGAAGCTAAGGCCGTGTCCAGAATCGGGTGGGAACGCTCGGCTCGGCGGCATGGGGCGTACACCGTTCATTCCAGGCGGCGCGGGAATTCCACCAGATCCATTGAATGATCGCAAAGGGTTCATCATCCCCGCATTCGACGAATACATTGATTCTGAAGGGTGATTCGATCGCGCAGCCATTCCTGGTATGCCGGGGGGATTGAACGGCAGACCACCGAGGCCAGCGAATGCTGAAGGATTTGCGCGCCCTAGAGGTGACAGAGGGGCAGAAGGCTGCGGATGGTGCAAAGGAGGCTGTTGATAGCCTTGTCTGGCACCGAAAGACGCGCCTGACTGCGGAGGACCCATGGAACGTGGGGAAATGGAAGAAGGGTGATGAGAGGAATCGGCGCTGTTAGGTTGAGAATGAGGAGAGGATGTAGAAGAGCCATGATGAGATTGTTGTTGACGAGGTCTTGCCGGAGTCGAGACCTTGGGAACAATAGGTGTCGCCATAGGATAATGCGGAGACTGCAGGAAACCAGGAGGAGCCTGAGACTGGATATTGTATGGGATAACGCCTGGCAGAGTGTGTGGTGGCGAGGTTCTGATTTGTTCGCGCTTTCCACTTCGATCTCGAATTTCCTGCTCTCGTGCTGCGTCTCGGTCCTTCCTCGCCTGCTCTTCACGCATTTTGCGCTCACGCTCCTCTTCTCTGGTTTTCTTTTCCAGGGCCTCACGCTCTTCCTTCTCTTTGCGTTTGGCTTCCTCTCGTCTCTTCTTCTCCTCTTTTTGTTCTCGTTGCTTACGCTCAGCTTCAGCTTGACGTTCCCGTTCTTCTTTGAGTCGTCGCTGCTTCTCGGCTTCTTTGCGAGCACGCTCTTCCTCTTGTGCCTTTCTTTCGGCATCACGTTTCTTCCGTTGCTCTTCGCGCTTCAATCGCTGTTCTTCGAGTTTCTTATCTTGCGCAGCCTTCAGAGCCGCCTCTTCGGCCGCCTTCTCGGCATCTCGGCGGGCCTTCTCCTCTTCTTTTGCTTGTCTTTGCAAACGCTTCTTATCTTTCTTCTTTTGCGCTTCCCGGGCCTTTTTAGCATTGCGCTGTTCGTTCAGCGTCTCCTCTTGGAGTAGCTCATCGATTAGCTGTTTCTGGCGCTGTTCGGCAACCTTCTCTCGATATGCCGTCATGACTCGTTGCTCAAACATTCGGGCGGCGAAAATTTGGAACATCCGTCGCCCTTCCTGCATGCGTTGTTCCTCGGTCATGGCATCCTGTTACCGTTATTAGCAAATTGGCTCGAGCAATATGAGATCGTAGACCCGTACCATTTCGTCTTCGTCGAACTCTTCCTCCTCTTGACTATCATAGTCCTCATCGTCCTCCTCATCATCGTAATCCTCATCATCCAAAGGACCGTGATTATGCCCATGGAAGGACTGATGAGCAGCAGCTATTCCGTACTGTGTATCTTCCTCTCTTTGCATTCTCCGTTCAGCCAATTGCTCCATCATATCGATGAAGTGCTTGCCATCGTTTTTCAGAAGATCGTCCGCAACTGTAAGAATTCCATCTGATAAGAAAATAATTAGTATCCAAAGTTAGAGGTCGATCCCTCATAATATCAATCAAGTGATCTTGTTGCATACCCTTTACAGTTAGACTGTTGCCAAATGCAAAAAAATCGGCGCGGGCCGCTCGAGCTTCATCATCCTCAAGGTCCTCGTCGCTGTACAGCTCCTCATCATCGTCTTCCTCGTCCTCGTCTTCTTCGTCATCCTCTTCCTCTTCTTCGTCGTAGTCCTCTTCCAAATCATCATCGTTGTCTTCAGATAGCTCCTGGACCCGGCTCCGTGACGGATGAAACTGGCCATGTGTTCTAGTATGCTGCCCCGGGGACCGAAGGGGTGGTTGATAGAGTCGAGGGGGAGGAATGATGGGAGCTCCTTCGTCAAATGCGCCTTGGTTGTTATTCGCATATTGTTCCAGCTCCTCGTAGTATGCGTCGTAGAGGACCTCCAGCTCTTCTTCAATCGCGGTTCGTTTTCTTCCACAAACTGTACAACTGCAAGAGTGCTTTTGCTGTTCTTTCATTTTCTTCAAAACAGCATCCTTTTCCACCTTGACAAGCTGGCGTCGTTCTTCTTCGCCGAGCTCAAACCAAAAGGTCCTGATATTTTCGCGTTCTTCGAGAGTAGACTGGTTCCAGATGCTGCTATTTTTAATAGGCTTTCCGGTGAATCGACTGATGTATGGCATGGATTGAGGAGGCGGAGGAGGGTGGGCGAAAGTCGCGCACGGGGTAGAAAGCGGAGTTGAGCTACGCTCAGCATGATTCTGAGATTCGGATCGTGCTTTCCGAGTTTTCTTCCTCTTCGATGTCTCACCTAAGGCAGCGTGGTGGCCATCGGATCCGTTCATTGTGGGCGGTCCGCGTGGATGTTCTGGTGACACATATCCGTAATGACCGGTGCTTGCTGTATGGTTGCGATCATCGGGGTCATAGTCGTGGTCTTCATCGTAGGAGCGCTGTTCATCTGTTGCTAGCAAGTCCGCATCTCCGGAGGCATAAGCATCAGGATGTTCCGCGGCTAAGCGAGCAGCTTGTTTCTGGCGACGTTTCTGTTTTTTGCGATTCACAGAAGGCGCAGAGGTCACGGCTGATCCGGTCGATGTGTTGCCCTGAGGACCCCGCGCGTGGGTCTCGCCGTTGGTTGCTGGAAGAGGAGTTGCTGACATATGGGTCGCCATGGTAGAGGTGAAATAAGCTGCAAGGACTGCCTCAGCAGCATACTAATACCACCAGAGTAAGCTTTGAGTTAGAAAATAAGGTCAGAGAGTTTGGGGTGGTAGAATGGGGAGGAAAAGCGGAGAACGGAAGAGCCAAAGAGCCCTACCAACAAAGCTCCGGTGATTCCACGATCTGGGGTTCACTTACCGGAATTATTCCCCTTGGCGTATCCACGCACAAAGAGTAAAGCGCGTTCTTTGTTGTTTTCTGAAAACACACTTCCGCAGTGACAAACGTGAGGGGTGAGATAGGATAAGAACACGGGAGGGGGGGGTGAAAGGCACGGCGGGTCACGACGTGTCTGCGCGGATTAGCTCCTGGAGCGCAAGTAAACCAGCGGAGGAAAACAAACAATGAGTCAAAGCTATGATTAACAACCTTGGGAGATATTAATGCTGAGTGAGCGCCGAGGCAAGAGGTACGAGAGATCAAACGATGAATGGATGGAGTGATGGGCTTTCTAGCCTTCTGGCTGGTTGTCGTGCCGCCGCAACGGGATAGCCGCTGCAAGCGAGCTGATGCCTGAATTGTCAGGTTTCAATCTCGAATTGTTATGTTTGAGTAACGGGATCGTGCTTGAAAGAAGATATTTCAAACTTTCCACTGGTAGAGATCAACTGGGTCAACTCTTCAGCCAAGCGATCATGCCTTGGTTACAAGAGTAAACAGAAGTCACGTCTCACTGCTCTCATGCTGATCACTGCATGGTGAGTCACATGATGAAGTCTGGTGTCCGCCTTCAATCTGCCCGCAATATCCCTCCATACCAGGGCGGTGAAGATGTAAATAGCAAGGGGAAACAAGTATGAGCGCTCGATCCACCGAGCTGTGTGAGACACGGAGAGCGCTAATTAAAAATATCTGCCAAGGTGATAAACAAGAGAGGGACAAAAAAAGGGTCCCTATAGGGTGCTGAAACCGAAAAGATACCCATCTTTCTATTAATATTTATGTAGTCCCTTCATAATCTCGGCGTGAGCCTTAAATCTCCGCTTAAGAGGAATTGTAACTTCCCCTTCATCTTATCTTGCTCTTCAGCTTCGACCTCTTTCTTTTCAAAAAAAAACTTCCGCTCACTCAATTTCTGCCCTTCTCCTCTCTCTTTAAGCCCCCTATCATTTCGAGGTGACATCGCCTAGGCATTCTCGTGTCTACGTCAAACCCCCCCAATCATTAGCCTCAGCCGCAGCGCGACCTTTTCCCCCTCCCCAACAAATTGTCACGTCACTGTTTGGGTGCATCTTCAGGCCACCCATTCATCTGCTCTCTGTAATCCCTTTGGGCACTATCTGCCTAGGGCTGGTCTTTCCTTACTATCCATCTCGCCAATTCTCGTAATCAGCTGAATCCGACTCGGAACTCCGCGTCATCTCGCTGATCCACAACACCCTCCGCTCTCCCATTACCCTTGTGTATCACGAAAGGGTTTTGCAACCTTCATAATGTCGCAACAGCAGGATGATAATGTGATGCGAAGGTATGTGTAGCCCATTTTTAAGGTGGTGTCTTACATCCCCGCTGTATCGCAAGGAGATTATGCAAGCCGATTGGAGGCGGCCGCCTAGCACTTCCGATACCATTGCCAGTGGGATGGAAGGCAGAATAGTGTTCGCATATGCTGACTTGACGTCTTATTAGGAAGCTTGTCATCATTGGAGATGGTGCATGTGGAAAAACCAGTTTGCTCAGCGTCTTTACCCTCGGGTACTTCCCAACTGTGAGTTTGGTCCTCAGGCCCTTATAAGCAAGGTCCGTGACTAATATGTTCTTATATGACAGCATTATGTTAGTACTCTCGACTTCGATACATTCCACCCCGATCACATGTCTGACATCTCCCCCGTTAGGTACCAACGGTATTCGAAAACTACGTGACGGATTGCCGTGTCGATGGCCGCTCAGTTCAATTGGCTCTGTGGGATACGGCAGGGCAAGAAGATTATGAACGCTTGCGACCATTAGCCTACTCAAAAGCCCATGTCCTCCTGATTGGGTTCTCTGTGGATACTCCTGATTCGTTGGAGAATGTGAAACACAAGGTTCGTCTCAGATTAATTGAGGAATCGGCAGTCATACTGATTTTCGGTATAGTGGATCGACGAAGCAAACGAGCGATGCCCCGGAGTACCGATTCTTTTGGTTGGATTGAAGAAAGACCTTCGTGAAGACCCATTGGCGATTGAAGAAATGCGCAAGAAATCACTCAAGTTCGTGACAACAAAAGAGGGCAGTGATATCGCAACGTCGATTGGAGCCCGCAAATATCTTGAATGCTCGTCTTTGACAGGCGAGGGTGTTGATGATGTATTCGAAGCAGCTACCCGTGCTGCATTGCTCACGTTCGACAAACGGAAATCGTCTTGCTGTGTGGTTATCTGAGGATGCAATTTGGGATGTCTTTCTCTGCCAGCGCTCGGTTTTTCTGTTGACTTGGAACTTGATTGATACAACTTGGTGTAAACCATGAAGATATCAATCAGTACTCCGTTGTATCATGCATCACTGGTGTTTGGGAGGTTCTTGTGTTCACCCAGTCGATTGATCTGGGTACGATGTCTGCTTTCCGGTTATTTTCAGCCGTGCCTTTTCCTTGCAGGTATTTTCTTACGTCTTTCCTTTTTGATCAATTGTGTATTTGTGGCTGATGCTTATGCACGTGCAACTCCGGATTCCCCTCCTTCTCATCGCTCAATTCCCCGAAGTACATTGCGATCCCGCTCATTGTGTTCTCTTTTTTTCATGTAGTAATTCCGGTCCCTTTGCTTTCAGCGCTGATTTCTCATACATTGTGCTCACGACCCGCTCAGGGTACCATATAATCAACTTATCTCCTTTCTCCCTATACTCCTTGATATAGAGTCCGAGCATATCGCACAGAAAAACCATAGGACAACTCAAGCAAAGTCTCGTAGAGCTTGAAACGCAAAATGCATAGTATATCAAGATAAAAAAGGAAAAGCATATGTTACATAGCGCCAAAATGATACATATATCCTGGGCCCTCCAGTCAAACCAACATCAAATCCAACCAGACAATCTCTCCTCAAGACCTCTACTTCCTTACAGGCTTCTTCCAGTCATAGTTCCATCCATCAGAAGGAGGAGAGTCGGTCTGCATGCGAGCATACTCAATAGGGAACATATCAGTGAAGATACCCTTCTTGTTCATGGAGACGCGGAACAGCTTTCCTCCGTCACCCGCGCCGGTGCGCAGCTCCTCGCACGCATCCTGCATGCTCTGGTACTGGCGCATCATCTCGAGTTCGTGCTTGCGGCGCTGCTGAGCCTGGAACAATTGCCACGCGCGGTGGATGGTCCAGTGTCGGAGGTAACGGTTGCGAGAGAAGCGGAGGGGACGGGGAGTGAGAGGGTGGTGGAGGAAGTAGCGGATGAGAGCTAGAGGGTTGAAAATGGATTGTTAGTTTTAGGTTCTTTTTCTTTTCGTTGGCCGTGACGTGTTTGGTCTGGTTGGGGCTCGGGACTCGGGACTCGGGTGAAAGCTCGGCGCAGGGACGTGACACATACTAATGCGCTTATCAACTACAGAGCCGCCGGAAGCCTTTCTAGCGGCCATTGCGCTTGTTGTCGAGAATGGCGCTGATTGCAGGGCTGCTGTGACCGGGCCGGGCTGTTGGGGTTGGCGGTTCAGGGTCTCGTGGCATGCCCGGGTGATTGATGGGCGGACCGGCGCCATCGACATTGGGATCTTGAAGACATTCGCGAGGGACGCGAGGGCTGGTGATAAGGACCTCATTCTGATGGTTGTTTGTTGGGTGGAAGGAGTGGGAAGGGCTCGATGTAATTGAGTTCCACGGGGAATAATTCCTTGACGGCAGAATCTTGTCCGCCTATTTAGCCGCGCGCTTAACATTCCCGCTACATCTTTAGCTGCAACGCATTTGTGCTTCATATAGGCATGCTCTTCTTAAATAATGATTTGATTTACTTATTGAATGGCTAGGAACCTAATTTGCATAAGAAAGGGTTCTACGTCCGATGACTGGTCAATTAAGCCGGTCTTGATATTAATAATAGGTACAGATAGAAATCGATACTTCTGAGCAGAGATCATGACTTGATATTTTTGTCGAATAATAAGTTAGAGGTATTCAGCAGTATCGAGAGTCATCAAAGGCATCATATGTGAAATGTCCCACCAAAGCCATCAAATAGAATACCATAAACGCCATAGAATGCAGTCGACGCGCGCGCCGAAGAAAGCAGAGGAAGTAGGGACTCAAATCGAGAAATGGGCTATTCAAAGCTATCAAGTGGACCGCTTTGCAGCATGGTGTTTCTTAGCTCGATCGTAGTTCAAAACCTTGCGGCGACGGTGCGTTTGGGCGAGCTTCCATCGGCAATAAAGAACCAGTGCATCCTTCAACAGAACAAACATGCACCCACCAACAACGCTGCGACCCCAGCGGGTCTGGAGTAGCCCCAGGCGGCCACCGCTCATGGTTGGGGATGTCCATGACTTAGGTAGAAGACACTTCAATAGGCCACCCACTGATGCTGAGACTGCTGGGAAGACGAGTGCTCCGAGTACGACATCAGCGAGATTGCTGGTATCGGCGATGATCTCATTATGTCGGTGCCCAAGCCCTAGCGGGTTATTGTTTTGCGCAGCATCTTGTGGGCCGTCATCGGCATCTTCGTCCTGCTCGACGGCAGCCCCAAGGTCCGGTTCGTCTCCATCGCCCATTCCCATTTGCAGCTCAAGATCGATCTCCATCAGGATTTGTCCGTTCCCATTATCACCAAACCGGTTGAGACCCTCCGCCTGATCTTGTTGCTGCGCATCATCCAGGACTTCTTCTGCCGCGCGGGGTTGTACCTCGGCAATCCATTTCCGTTCCAAGCCACCGAATATCCGTTCGTAAAGCGCCCCGTAAAAGCTGTTGACGTATGGCAGCGCGGCAAACGTCATAGCCGGCGTGGGTGGCCACAAGTCAAAGTCGGGGTCCTGCCCGGGGTTATGTGAAGCGAAGAAAAGAACCGGAATAGCTGGAAGAAGGCCTTCGGCGTATCGAGTGCGCGAGAAGATTAGAACGAGCGGGATAAGCGGCAATCCAACATTCATCCCGGGATTCCACGGGCCCTCCACAGTCTCCTCCATGATCTGCCTGGCTTCCTCGGTTCCGAAAATGAGGTACATTGAATAAACGCCATGCGCGCAGCACCCGGCCCATACAGTGCCAGCCATTGTAAACATTATGCCGGGAAGAACCAATCGACCTGCTACGCGCTCGAATAATCGAAGTATATCGACGACATAGCTTCGCGGGCGAGTGACCACGATTTCCGTCTTGCACTGAGGGCACATCATTGTTACGCCACCGTTGCTTTTCCGCGACCGGGGGTTTTCCATGTCCGCCAGCCAGTCGAGCAGGCATGCCTCGTGGGCTGTCAAGGCACAAGGGCAAGGCGACCGCCATTCCAGATTCAGTGGCGAGTCTTCCGTTTCATCTGTATAGCAAATCCAGCATTTGCGCGGCTCGTCTTCCTCTGAGACATGGGGTGGTTTTGATGATGAACTGAGTTTGCTGGAAATATCCGATTCGTGGCTCGAGGTCGATACGCTCTTATTCAAGAAAACGGTTTCGGTGTCCTCCATCGACTCATCCTGAGGTGAGACACTCTCTTGAGAGATGGTAGTTTCATCGAGATTGGCGGGGGTGGTATCATCGGGTGGTCTGATTCTGCCTGGTGCAGAGTATCCCGGGACGGACGCCATCGTAGTGGGGACTAGCTATGCAAGTCGGGGCCGATGAGAGATGTTGAGAGATAGTTGCGGTAATGATCTAAATCGGGCTCGATAAGAGACAAAGAACGGAGTTCAGCATCTTCTGAGTAGAGAGGTGAAACATATAAAAGCCGAAAAGCAAATAAATGTCTTAATTTGCCCCAGAGCACAAGAAGAGAGGGAGCTCCATTCCACTAAGTGGAGGTTGGAATCTCTTAAGTTCGGCTGTAAGCCGCGGCTGTCAAAGGCGGTCACGTGGGGGCAATCACGTCACAGTGGCCGCCGAGCTCAACCCAAGATCAAACCGGAAATGGCAAATGATCGTCAGGCGTATAGATGTAGATTTACTTTCTAATTCACTTCGAGTATATATGATATACTACCGTTCAGTGAGACACAATAGTTCGACCATTGCCCTTAGTCCTCCTATATGACTTCCTTCCAGGTTTATGACAGCACTGTCGCGCTCTGTGTCCTAATAGTCGTCCAGTCTTTTGAGGCCGTGGTGGACGTGGTGATGGTGATAGTAGTGTTTTTCCTGGTCTAGTTGACAGAAGGGCAGAACTATCTAGGCGCTAAATTGGACTCTGAGGGCATGTTGCAGTCTTAATACACATCCATAGATATATGTGTTGTGTTTGCCTCTGCATGGCAAGCCATATACGAGGATGTTGAAAAGTTAACCTTCGATTTGGCCGAATACGAAATATTACTCCATACAGCTGTCTACATAGACCGATGGATAAGTTTGAATTTGAATAAAGTAGCAAATCATCATTAAAAAAGCAGAAAGTAATAAGGCTTGATCTAGCGATCTGGTGATCAGGGGTGGAAAAGCAACATCATAGAAGAGCGAGGGGTAGCTAATCCACACACCCAACTAACTACAGTTCAGGGTGAATGCTACCGTCAGACTCCCTCTTTCCGTCAGCTGATGCAGCCATTTCTTCCAGGGCATCATCTAGATTAGTTGGGACTGAGACAGATTCAGGCGACGCCACAGCTGCAGGTTCAGAGGACTTTGTCACGTCCATGTCGTCCTTGTCCTCCTGCTTATCTGCCGATTCGGTTGCTATCGGAGACGATTCAGCCGATTTCGAGATCTCTGCTGGGGTCTGTATAGGCTGGACATCCGCTGTTGTGGTCCTGGGCGAGGTCATGTCCTCTGGAACCGGAGATTCAGGTGTTGGGTCTACAGATTCGCCGGCGGTATTCTTGGCAATTGGAGGGGCCATTGGGCCTTCAGCAGTCACCGACGGTTCCTTCACTGCAACAGCAGACTTTTCCTCCTTCTTACTGGTTCCAACAACAACCTTTCCATCCTGGTCGACCTGCCAGATATTCAAAGCTTCTGTGATCTTGATCTCTGGGATAGTGGGGAGCGTAGAACTGGTTTTTTCGACGGCTGGCTTACGTCGTGCTGGTCCGCGGGCTCTTCCCTTGCGAGCATCGCTCAGAGGCTGCTTCTCAACCGAAACCTCGGGCTCCTTTTCCTGAGGCTTTGGCTGCTGCGGACCCAGCTGCAGACGTGAATTCAGATCAGTGAGGAAGCCCGCCTTCATGGCTGCAATTTTGCTCCCGCCTGGACGACCAGGAATTGCGGGCTTGGCCTTGACTGCAGGAGCATCTTTCGAGGCTTCAGCGGTGGTTCCTGCGGCCTGGGAACTGGGCTTAGCAGGACGGGTAGGGACCTGAGGCTTGGGTCTGCCAGGAATTGATGGTGGTTGGCGCTTTTCGGTCGGTGAGGTAGACTGAGGCTGTCTCTGCGGGCGCGGGGGAATTCCAGGCCTGGAAGGTACTTCCGGACTTTTCAATTCTTCTTTTGCAGGCTCGATTGTGGTCACCAGCTGTTGACTATCAGGGGCATCTTCCCAAATATCTCTACTGGGGAAACGCTGTTTCAAAGTGTCGGGTCGCGCGGGAGTCTTATCCCTGCCGCTCTCGCCTTCCAGGATGTGGGCGGCCACCCGATGAGAGTCGACTTTGGCGTTCTGCATCTTGCGTTTGGCCTCTTGCTCGGGTGTTTCGAAGACTTCGGCAGAGTCTCGCTTAGGCAGATCTGGGGTGGTGACGGTGGCTTGAAGCTGCAGACTGTTCGGGGTATCCTCCCAGATATCCTGGCTAGGGAATCTATGTTTGAGTGTGTCAGGCCTTTTCTTGAAGCGATCCGCAGCTGACACGGGTTTCCCTTTCTTAGCATCCTCTTCAGGGAACAACGGTTCATACTCCTCGACGTCTTCAAGAGGTGTATACGTATCCTCGCGCGAGTCAAAGCGGGTTAGTTGGCCTTGCACGCTTGCCGACCGACTGTTGGAACGACTGTTGGAACGACTGTGGGAACTAGGGGTTCGACTGCGGCCATCATCCTCGAAGCTTGGTCGACGATCAAATGACGGCGAGACGGCGGGATGCAAGTACGCCGACTCAGGGCGCACTTCATCAGCAGCCAAAATTGGCTCATCGTCCTCCACGGCGTTCTCATATGTCGGCTCATTCTCTTCCAGCGCCGGGGTGGCGGCGAATCCATCCGGGTGGTGCAAAGGATGCATCGGATCATCCACGTGGATCACGCCACCATCACGATTTCCATGCGAACTGGATCTACGTTGATGCAGTGGCCTTGCGGTAGTTTGCTTCTGCGTTGCTTCTGAAGGGAAACTCATCTGTCGAAGTGGCGACTCAACAGTCGGTTGGCTTTCGAATCGACCGTCGGGAGGGGGAGAAGCAATTTGCTGTATGTACTCGTCGGACGCTATGTATCCGACCTCTTCTTCGGGGGTACCCACGATGGATGGGGAAGTACCTAGCTACAGTTAGCTTTCAATCGGCAGCACAATTGCTTCAAATACTCACCAAGACCGGAACCAGTCTGGGCCGAGCTTCGAACAATCTTGTTCAGATCATCGCTGCTCATTGCCCAATCGGGACGCGGAGTGCCGACACCAGGGCCATATTTTCCTTCTTCCTTCACGAATTCATCGGGATGCTTTTCATACCAAGCCTTCTCGAACTTATCGGGATACTGAACGCCATGTCCGTGCAACCCATAGCTACCAGGGGGCAGTGAAGAGTCCCGAGCACTACGAGTGCGGTTGTGGTTACGGCTGGACCGCTGCGAGCCTTGTTCGAGGTACGGGCTGGGGGATGGTGCCTGGACGTCACCGGCATTTGGATACATGGGCACGCGGAACCCCTGCTCATCTCCCATGTGGGCAGAGTGTCGGCGCTCATTGGATGCAGTTGATCCGGTGCGTGAGCCACTCGTTCGGGAATGCAGTGAACGACTTGATCGTTCTAGTTCCTCGCGAGCAGGCGAAACACCACGGCCTAGTCCTGCCGCAGCAGCCTGGCGGGAATCAGTCCGGGTGACACCACGGACTCTTGCTTCCGCGCTTGATATCGGCAGCGAAGGTCTCGGTGCATGGATCTTAAGATCACTGCCAACATTGCGAGTCTCCGCAGGTGTCTGGTGATGGGTATCCGACATGTTTCCTGGGTCGAGATCCGCATATTCAATACCCTCCTCGCCGAGGGACGGTATCGTGACGCTGGGAGGACGTGGAGGCAGATCATTTGAAACGGTGCGACTCATGCTAGGACCGGTCCATTCATTGAACGGTGAAGGTGCATAGCTATCACGCATGGGTGAAGCCGAACGATCACTGCGGCGATTGCCCGGGCGCGGCGGTATCTTGGGCATCTCTGACGACGATGACGCTGCCGGCGGTTTTGGAGATCGGGCCGGTCGAGGAGGAATGACCGGAGCAGGTTGGGACATGATGAAGTTCTGGGAGCTGTTAATAAGTCAGCGACTGCCCAACCGGATACCCCGCGAATACGCTTGGCCTTATGCGGGTTCAAAACAACAATGGACACACGGCTCCAATGAATTGCAGGGATTAAGGCAACTACTATGGATATGCATCAAATTGATGCAAGGTTCTCAAGAGGAGAGAGCCTAGCCATGCGACTGATAAGAGTATACGGAATGATTTGCTTACCCGGATATGGTGAGAACCAGTTGAGTCCAATTGGAACGACAGTGAAAATGTGCAATGAGAACAGTTAAGAACTGCACGGAAGTAGATATTGAAGCAATTCCGAATCTGAGTTTTAGGAAAGAGAGATGATGTATGCTCTTTCTGCCACGCCTGACGTGCTCTGACCGCAAGAGATAATGCGCGTATTGTACTAATACAGTATCATTACATGTTATATAAGAGCCAACTACAACGATCCGTTAACTCAACGCCCCGCCGATGAGATCAGTATAGGGCACCTTCGCTTCTTTTGTTGAGGTCCTATAAATGGCTTCTATCTGTGGTCAATATTGGTCTTAAAATAATAATGCCTGTTTCTCTAAAATTATACCTTTACCCGAGCGACCGTCTCAGCTCAGATCAAACATTGTGCACATGTTCTTCTTACTGTACAAGATATCTAAAAATAAGCTGAAGTATCTTACAAGTACTTACTCCGTAGTCTAGAACTTGATATCGGACTTGTTCTTTGACCTTTGACTTCTCATGATAAGATGATTTCTCTGTCGTTGGATTGGCTGACTCGACCGAGGCGGTGAAGTGTCATGGCTTTCCACATTGCATCATCGTTGGCTATTTATACAACTCGACCAACCCTACATTGTACACTTCATTCTAAGATCAATGAACATTCTTAACATATATGTGCACTACCCTAGGAGCTTTCAGTCTCGACTCTCTAGGTATCGCTTTCCTTTGACCTTGTCATACCTTCAATCACTAGGATACACCGATCTGTTCAACAATGAGATCCACTCTAACCGAAACAGCGAGATTACACGCCACATATTGATCACCAGGGCTAAAAAGAATTTGCGGGGCAATATGACCTGTGACGAAAATTCCAAGCTCCATCCCACTATTTGCGTCACGTTCCTGTATATTATTCTGTCTATGATTCAAGCTAGCCGACGGCTTGTTTCGTGTAGCAAGCTGGACGGATTGCAGCCTAGCCGGGTCGCCTAAGTTTCAAGATTGTCAGGGTGCGAATTACCAGATATGGGATAGTTACTCCGTACATAGAGTGCATATACGATGTAGGTCTATAGCTGATACCCAACCCTAATTCTGCCAAATACATTCAATCTACATCTATTTCCATCTGGTCCTATTGGTGACACTTTTCAGGGCCAAGCGGGTATATATTCACTTCCGTATAACGGTAGATTTGAATTTGGATTTTCCGGATTCGTTCTTTGCAATCCCATCCCCGCCACCCTATCTGTGGAGCGGCCCGGGGCGGGGTTGGTGCCCGAATGCCGTTTGAAGCACGATTCACTATCCTTGGAGTAAATATTTCTCCGATCTTTAGGTAGAGGTGAGGCTGATATCAGTATGAAATAATATTAGGACGAACAGACGTTGGACAGTGTGGGCCGATTTTAAATGCCTGTTCGCCCGCTCCTTGGCCCTGATCTATGCTTCAACGCTTAGATTCCACCTTCTATTTCAGCACTGCCTGTCCACGACGAACCAGGTCGTTATTCTTAACCGTTTCCTGATCGAATCCCTTCACAGCCAAGTCTAGGACTGCTGCCGAAAGCTCCTGCCGATCAATATTTGGGATTGCGCGCGTGAAAGCGTTAAGGACATGGAACACCGAGGCCAGTACAGATCTCCCAAAAGTAGTGGAATTGACCACTACTCCGGGTTGAGCGATACAGATCTCGACCCCCGGGTACTCTTCGGGAAGCTTGATAACCATGAGCTCTGTTTCGCACTAAGAAGCAGATCGTCTTTAGCATAAGAACACACAGACTCGTGCAACTATAACTCACGCGCATGACTTGATAGTCACCCATGATGGCTGGCCTTTTGGTCGGATCTCTGGGTGTACCATCGGCACTGAAGTAGATGAAACGGAAGGGTTTCGCGGGACCGGCCTCGTACATGGCCTTGAATCCCGCGAGAGTGCAGTCTTGACACACGCGCTTGACCTCAGCAAAGTCAAAGCTGCTTGTTCTGAATGGTGTCACAGCGACCGTCCTTACAGGCAGCGCGAGTTAGTGGGCTTTTCCTTTTCCGTTCTTAATTGCCATAATATCAACGAGAGTAGGATTGCGTACCATATGCAGGCGTCCGCCCCGGCGAACTCAGCCTTCACATCAGCAGAATACTCCCCGTAGTCTCGAATGACGACACTCTTAAGCTTCGACGTCGGGTCTGTTCCTTCTTCAACTTGGACGGGCTTCCGAGCTAGTGCGATAACCTGTGTGATCTCGTTGATTTGCAGGCATTGCCTAATGATCTCCGAGCCCACCAGACCGGTTGCACCAGCTACAATGAGCTTCATGGCGAGAGTATTTCAAGTTCGGTAAAGTTGTCGGGTATTAGTTACGCAGGGACGGGAATGATTAATCAACGTTAGGAGAATGCAGAGGTTACAATTTCCAGGGGATACTACTCATATATCCCGTCGGGATTCGGGCCCAATCCCGTTCGGTCAATCCGTCATTGGACTCTAGAACCTGCCCATGTGGGCTACCTATCCAACTCCGTGTTAGAATAGTAGTCTGATGCGATTTCAACGACTCCGTTCATGTCCAGCGCTCCTACCTGAGGGAGCTTATATTTCTAGGTGGGCAGGGCCACGGCTCTCTCTTCTGCTACAAAGGTCCCTTTCCAGCGGCCCCGGATGCTGTATGATGCCGTCGTTAAGAAAAACAGTTATGCAATCTCAATAGGTCCAGCGGGGATCTGGCCGAAGATGCCACCCGACCGAAATTCCGTCCCCCAGCGGTACGGACGGGCACGTACATCTTACCCCCTGACATCCTGTCCGTTATAGTCATTCTGATGGATTGACTGACTGGTAGATAGGCCTGTGCGAGCTGTTCCCAATCTAAATGTAAATGTGTCCCGAGACCTGGTAGCCAAAGCTGCGAGAGGTATTATTGTCTAAAGAAACCCATCCTGTGAGATACATCTTCTACTGGGTTGATTGCAATCGCACCATTCTTCGACGATTTCGTTGGTCGCAGGGGACGTGTAGGGGGCGGTTTCGACCCCGAGTGGTCGCATGGATTTGGCTGTAAACCAGGCTGCTCAATTAGATGGCATAGCTTATGTGTCAACTCTTGTTCGTGGAGAAACGAGTTGCATATCAAAGCTCATGCCAGGAAGTAAGTGGGCACCATGTCCGGAGTCTAGATTCACGATCCCCAGCTGCGAAAATGGATCCAAGCCCAATGCCGAATGCCGATCTACTGCATGAAATCGAGGGACAGCTGGCTCCGGGCAGCTGGATAGCCAATAATATATGGGATTTAATCAAAGTTGGGTTCGTAATTGCGGGCCGTACCCCGGCTCATCGGGAATGACGCCGATCCCGACGAGGCTGTCTCATATTGGAGACGCTCGGGCGGTTTCCGAGACCAACAGTCGCAATGTTGGGGGCATTGCTCAGCCCTTTCTCAACAAGATACCGAAACCGAAGGATATTGTCAAGTGGAAATTGTGGTGAAGAGTAGGGCGGGTGAGCAGGGAACTAGGAAGTGAGAGCTGGATGGACTGTTACAGGCAGCCCTCGCTAACACAAACCGCCATTTGATACTATTAGTAATCATACCGCGAAAACACCCGGTTGCTATGCCAAAAATCCCAATCGTAGTAGGTATAGCTCTTTTACGTTGAAGGGACAGGGGAGATTACAGGACAGCGTATTAGGAGCTAAGCCGGAAATGGCAACATGTACGTATAGTTACCCAAGTATCGCCCGAATGAGGAGCTGCTATGTACCTCATGGGCCTGGGTGCTTTTACGTTAGATACCCAAGTGTCAGAGTTGATACCTACAGAAATAGGCCATCATCCACGAGCTTCTAAACCCGAAGAATCCGAAGAGCTTCCGCTTCACTAGATCTATAACATACAGCTGAAGTCATACTGAGTCTTGTCTGATATTGTGGCGGAATTGAGCTTGGTCAAAGAATACACCTTTTAAGATAGATATCAGAATACCTATTCTGGCGGACGCAGTCCACAAAAAGAAAGGAAACCACAGATATATCTGCTATAGGAACGCTCATCGACTTTGAAAACAAACATGTCCAGCGGGATCATCCTGAACCAAACCGAGGCATACAAGTACAGCACAATAAAAACATAAAAACTATTTCATAGCACATCCCAATGCATGCTGCCCTAATGGCATTTTATCTCTGCACCATCTGCACCGAGCATTCCATCGTGTCGTACGAACCTCCATTCACTAGGACCAATCCCAAAATGGGTCCAGCTGGTATACAACAAGACAGGAACGGCTCGGTGTGAATATCATACCATCAGACAATCATCTGTGCAACTCCCTGGCCACCTAGGGTCTTGCTACCAACAAACTCTTGCTTCGTCAGGCCTGCGAGTGCATAGAAAACAGACGCGATGAGAAGGAAGACGGCACCAGCAATCAAGCTAGAAGCCCTTTCGGCAAGACTGATAAGTTGGACACCACCAAGGACGGCGTAAATGAGGGCGCGCATCCAGTTAGTTGTGAAGCGGCGGATAAAGGAATCGAAGGTCGAGGATGTGGGACAAATTCGGAGGAGGAAGGGCACTTCTATGAAGAGAATGACGAATGCCGAGGCACTGAGACACGTTAGGCTTCGCAATGAATCGCGAGAAATGAATGCGACTCACATGCTGATGACACTGATGATAATCAGAACCACGTTGAACGAAAAGATGTTCGCAATCCCTAGCGCAAGGCAAAGGATAATGCATAGCACACCCGTCCTAGATCTTGCGTCAGACCGATTCATTTATATGCGCAAGTGATTTTCGGGAGAGTGATTGAAGGGTCCAGGCCACCACACGAGGTAGCAAATGGCATTTGATCATTTGATCAAAATGCGAAATGCTCTCTCATGACATTATTCAGGCTTGTAAGGACACGGAGTGTTAGAAGGCAACGCGGTAGACTAACCATTGTCCATAGATGCCTAAGAAGACCAGCACGGTTAGCAGGTTGAGATATGGTATTGCAGAATGTGGGAACTTACTGAAATTTCGCGATTTGAACTCCTCAGCTAGCGTCATGGTGGGCTAGCGAAAAGAATCTGGGGAACAAGAGCTGAAGATCACAGATGGGGGTATTCGCGGATGATCAGAGGTGTCAGAGGGTCCGGCAAAGTGTACACGCGGCTGATCCAGGGCGGTCAAAACAAACAAAACGGGCAGGAACGATCGATAATTTTGACAAGGTGAAAGAAAGATCTGGGGATTATGACATTCACTTATGCAGTGTTGTAAATGTTTCTAAAGCTTTTGATAGGATCATTCCGAGGTCGTTTTCTACGCCAAGTCAAATCCACCCCCTACTAATCACCAGGCAGACGCCAATGGTCAAGGCCCCATATAGTCGGTCTCTAGGGCTGATATTTCCACTTATTCCAACGCGTAACACATTCACGGTCTATTTTTGGAATTCTCAAAGAAGCTGGTTGAATAATCGATGAAATCACTACTCACTAACATCTTGACTTGGTTGTTTGGTTGTAACATTTTGCGAGTCTACTTCTTTGTATATATTGCAAGAGAAGAGCACTTTACAAAATCCGAACAACGTAAGATCTACTTCAGAGCTACAAATATAGTTTGAGGGATATAAGATTGTAGTCGTGTCCTTTTCTTTTGAAAAATAACACAACATATTATTAGAACACAGTCACGAATGAATAGCATTTCGAGTGCGATGCCTTAAACTGTCAGTATGCTAGGTCTGATAGGATCTTTATCTCTCAGCTTTTTGCATTAGCTCAGAGTGTGAAATTTAGGTGAAGTATCTTGTTATTTCGTCAAAGTCAAGACAGATAAATTCTAGCTATACTGCGATAAGATTCACGACATGGACGGTACCCGGAACCTAGTTTCTACTCTCTGCGTGTATTTATGTATATAGAAGTTGAGAGAGATGTCTATATCAAGGGAGTAGTCAAAGGAGTACGTAACGTAAACCAAACATTTCGTGTCCAGGTGAGCGATAGCACGTTCACTCTCTACCATCCAATCATCAGTTCTTGTATTTACCTCAAAGCATGTATCTAAAGAATGGAGAGCGATCGCCCAGCGAGTCGGGATTCTCAGGATACTCCGAAGGATCCATGGCATCCCGCTTCCGGTTAACACGCTGGTATGCCATACGTAGAATGACAGCTGCTGTCATGCCCACGACAACGAATGCAAGTTCAAGAGAGTGACCAAGGATGTAATTCGGCGCATCTTGAGCACGGTAGAAGTTTGAGGACATAGCTGTTGAGTGAAGAGTATTAGTTTAATTCTCAAGCTCCCAATTGATGCGCGATCCTTACCTCCTGCCAGGTTGCCTACTCCAATGTAAATAGCCATGCCGGCAGCGCGCTTGTAGTCGCCTGCCATATTCACACTGAGCCATGTGACGTTTCCGGGGAATGCTGGATAAATTCCTTTTGTTGTGTTAGCTGGAGTATAAGCGTGCGGAGGTTTGTAAATTCTTACCGACAACCGCCAGGAAAATACCGAAGTACATAACACCTGGGACTCCCCGACCAGTAGACGCGAGACAGATGATAAAGCCGATACCAATCATGCCCATAAAGAAGAGAATGAATGGGGATCGCTGCTTGCGCCTGTCTGATACCCAGGCTGCAATAACAGCGACAACCGCTGCAGTGATATAAATTGGTACCTAATTATAATGATGTCAATCTCCGCTTCATTATGAAGTAGCTCAGGGACCTTACTGTAAGGAGCTGGGCAGTTGAAGCCTTATAACCTAGGTCCTTGATGATTGAAGGAAGGAAAAGGGAAATGCCGTATAGCGGACAGGTGATACCCCAGTACACTTTCCACGAATCAGTGAATAATACATTGAATAGCCAAGGACGAACAGAACTTACTGAATAGACCCAACCAAATTTGCCAGTCGGTGAAAGCATCGATGACATAGCGCATTTCGAACTTATCATTCGTTTGATCAATTTCGCGGGAATCTGCCGAGTTTTGAATTCGCAAACTGTGGATCACAAATCGACGCTCTTCTTCAGTCAAAAAAGTGGCAGTTTCCGGGGAGTCGTGAATCGCAAATGGGGCTATGAGTGCCACAATAACTGTAAGAAGACCTTCAAGAATGAAAATCCATCTCCAGCCAGCGTATCCGCCGACACCATCCATTTTCTAGGAATTTCGAGACACATTAGTAAAAAGAATTTCATTGCTGTCAGCAAGTAGAACACATACAGCGATAGCGTATGCAAGAAGCCCAGAGAATGCACCCGCAACACTGGCGGCACTAAAGAAGAGAGCTTGTCTAAACTGTGCTCGATGGCGTGGATACCAGAGTGTAATGTAGTATGCTACACCGGGATACAAACCGGCTTCTATCTCGTTTCATTGCAATCATTAGTCTTGACTAGAACAAAGTGGAGGTCGGAAGGAGGGTAGACATCAACATACCTGCAATGCCCAAAAATAATCGAGCTGCGAGTAGTCCACCGTAATCTTTGACGACTCCCATCAAGGTCTGTGTAACATCTCATTAAATGCTGCTTGCGATCACCCAGAAATAATGTGCGCACTCACCATAACAATTCCCCAAGCGACCATGATCAAGGGGAGCCATCTCGAGGGTCTTAACTTCTTTAGAAGTAGGTTGCTAGGAAGTTCGAAAACGCAGTAGGTGAAGAAGAAGACGGTCACTACCCACAATCATATGTCAATTGGCCATTCTTCTGTGAAAACAAATAACCAAAGGGGTTCATCGTACAAGTCCAATTGTATTGCGGTCCCGTCATATGGAGATCGTCAACAAGCCCCTCTATCTTTGCATTTCCGATATTCCCACGGTCCAAGAAGGCCAGCAGATATAGCATGCTCAGCATGGGAATGAGACGGATGTCCATCTTCCGGAGGATAGCCTTTTCATCAACCCCCTCAAAGGTCGGTGAGCCGAGGCTGAATGACTCCGCATCCGTGACAAGTCCATCTTGCTTGAGATCGGCGCTGAATGGGGAGTCTTGGGTGGGTGTATCCTCGAAGTGTTGTGGAGAGGTCTTCTCCGGAGTGTTCTTTGGATCAGCCATGGTGAACAAAGAGAGATGAGAGAAGAGGGAAGTCAACCAGCGCGGGACATCGTTTTCCGAGTATTTATACCTATCCTGAATAAGCTTACCCGGGGTAAGTCCGAAAACTGGGGATATCCCTTGGCATGAGGGGTACCACATCGGGATAACACATTGGGGTACTTCCTTGGCAGTTGACCGGCCTCGATGATTCATTTGACCCTGAAAGGAATATTGAGCGGCGAGTCTATTGATGCTGGGAACTTTTACTAGAGGTTTAATATCTCACATAGTGGGTTATATCAAAAAGGACTACGGAGTACCTATGTGGGGAGTACCCGATATCCCGATATGCGGGGGGACACGGTCCACCCATCGTGACTTGCGGCACAACTTGCGGCACTTAAGATACTGGAATGACCATACTGTAGCACAATCCGCTTCCTATGTCGACTGGCAGTATAAACAGCCTTATCTGGAGCTTTGGGTTGTATCCATAATACAATGTTTAGGCAGAGGCCCTCTCCCAGATCCACCACGATTTCCAAGGTTCAAAGTCAGATCATTTTTTATCAATCCATGGATATACATCAACTGGCTTAAATTTAGTGCCAACATGCTACCAGCGACGCAATACTACTTATGCGAAGCCCGTCTAGCTGTCCTACCTAAAGGAAGGAGACTACCGAGACGTTATGGATATCTCAATTGATTCCCATAAAGCACTGTGTTCTAATTGAGATACGCTAACATGTGCCCTAGAAAACAGGAGCGATATCTACGCAACAACTCCAGCAATCTGGTTGAGCAGCAGGTGTAGTGCAACCCAAAGTAATATTACCAAATTCCCTATGTGTGTACCATTCCAAAAGAGGGCTGGTAAAAACGACTGGACCACATACACTCGCGTTTGGAGGGTTCTGCGGATGGTTGGTGAGTGTGGCAATTAGTCGCGATGAAGGGGAACAATTGTGAAACTGGACACATACATACCACGACAGTAGACGAGCATAGGAGAGCAGCCGGCCAGCAGCCCTGGGTACAGAGCTTGTAATTCGCGCCCGAAAAAATAGGAATGAATGCGGGAATCACGAAGCTTTCGAGAGTATTGTCTGTGGGTAGGGTTTGGGTTTTTAGAAAGAGCAAGGCTAGGACCGATGAGATGGTGAGTTGCATTGTGTTTTGGGAAGGTGAGGGTCTCTTCGTACAAGCCAATCTCAATTCAAGCGTGTGGTTCAAAGATTGGGAACGGAATCTAAGAAGCAGCTTGCGGTCCTTATTTATAGTCAAGTCTAGCCGTTGTGCTGCCGTTGTGCTACCGGGTTATGCTTGTTCAACCTGGACTCATGTAGAACCAATTGAGGCATTGGATCATTCGAGAAACCCTAAATGATGTTCTTACTAGCCAATGATCCAATCTCATCCTGCCAATACAATTAATTATAGTAAACAATATTCTAGTACTCATTACCAGATAGAGGCTCGACCTTATAGTATCGAGGGCACTTAGCCACATTTGCCCCTAGAGTTATATCATCATAGCATGATAGCACCACAACCTCTTCCTCGACCGGATTGGCCACAGTTACTATCACTCAAGACTATATCATTCAAGGTCACCTCTCTTCTACAAAACCACCAATTACCAAAGCACAATGACATCAAGCCCGTGGACCAAACCCGACACAAGTACACGGCCAATTGCCGTCATCGGCGGTGGCATAATGGGACGACGCATCGCCAATATGTTGATAGCCGCCGGCTTCCCCGTAATCCTATGCGAGAAAGCGGGCAACTACAGCAGCGCAGTGCGCTACATCGAGGAACACAAGGGAGAGCAAGCCGCTAAACTAGGCACGCACCCCGCCGAGTTGAAAACAACATCCTCCCTACCAGAAGCCGTCAAAGACGCATGAATGGTCGCCGAAGCTATCCCGGAGAACCTGGACATGAAAATCGCGATTATGACAGAGCTGGATAAACACGCCCCGCCGGACTACATAATCGCCAGCAACTCGTCATCGCTGCGGAGCCGTCAGATGATCGTCAATACCAAGAATAATTACCGCATCTGCAATGCTCACTACTACATGCCGCCGGACCAGCTGTACTACGAGGTCATGTCGTATGGCTACACGGATCCTGAGATCTTTCCGTTTTTGATGGAGAAGGCTGCCCAGGCTGGGCTCAAGCCTGTGCATGCTAAGGTTGAGTCTACTGGACTGGTGTTTAATCGTATTTGGGCGTCGCTTAAGCGGGAGATTTGCCTTGTCCTGGCTGACGGCGTCAGTGATGCTCATACCGTTGATGACATGTTCAAGAGTTGGTTCAACGCTACCAAGGGTCCTTGCGAGATGATGGATACCGTTGGCTTGGATACCGTGTACAATGTTGAGGCTGTATATAGTCAACAGCGTGGTCTGGATAGCACTGCCACGGATTGGCTGAAGAAGAACTATGTTGATAAGGGAAATTTGGGTGCCAAAGCTGGAACGGGTTTACTTGGATAAATAGAGATCATTATCGATTAACTTTCAAATTGCAAGATAAAAGTGTTTTAGAATAGACCATTGAAACTGCAGTTCTGAGAGAGTTATGACGAGACACCAAGTGGAACTAATGATTTATTGGGTATAAGATATAACTGCACTCTCGATTCCGGGAGTATATAGGAACGACCTACGTCGCCTCAGACAGTCCATTATAGCATGACAATGAACTGCAAATCTTCGACGACAGACTATGAAACACGATTCGGACCAAATAGGCGACGGTGACAAGGGAGAAGATGACCCTCGGAGCCAAGTCGCCAAAGTGATGTACAAGAGGTAAGGATAAAACGAAACGACCAAAATAAAGTAAAATAGGGCATGAGGGTAGGTATCGGGGGTCCAAGGAAAACCGGCCAGGGAATCAACGGTCATCAGAAGTATTAATATGCAGGAGACATAATGATAAAAATTAGGCAAGGAACGTAGTAAAGTGAGAGGGCAATCAGAATAGCACGACGGCAACAAATAAGCGCGCTCTGAAACCTCGGAGGAAAGGGTATAGAGTGAAGGGCATTAGGAGCAGGCCCCAGGGTGTGACTTGCAATCATTAGGGTATAGCACACGCATAGGGCCAATCAGTGCAGAGGGGTTGAGCAGTGAAGAAATAGCCAAACTAGGTTAAAGACAATCGCGCGGGCGAAACCTTGACCAGAGAAACGATAATTAAGGGGATTTTCTGCGATGATGGACTTTCCACTCTGCTTTAGCGACACGCATGAATAATTCAGTGTCTTTGATGGGAACCCAGCTGGTGAGGACTTTCATGATATTCTCAAAGTCGGACTCGAGAATGATGTCACGCATGCCATCAATAAGAGCAGCAGATGAAGCATGCAAGACGTCAAGGCCTTGGCCAAATGTCCTTACGTTATCATCAGTGGGGACTTTGTTCTTCGATCCGGAGGATACGGAGCGGCCAGTGTTGTCTTCGGCATCACCAAGGAGCATGAAGACATCCCACACCCGAAGTTGAGCCGGGAAGGGAATCGAGTAATTGAAGAGTGTGAGGTACCAGCGAGTGCCGTAGGCTGTGGGTGGGATTCCAACCTCGTTCTGAAAAATTAAGCGTTAGTAGACACTCCTCGTGTTTCGAGCGAGATTGACTTACCAGTTTCGTGGCCACTTCACCTCCGGCGAGCCACTCTCGTTCAAAGTCGGCCAAGGCCTCCATTAGTCCAGCAAAGCCGGATTTGTACAGCTCTTCCAGACCTCGCAGCTGCCATAATCTGACGAGCATAATAAAAGAATGCTCCTCATCGTAATACGCTAGTAACGTAGCCGCGAGAGTTGCCATTCCCTGTACGTAGCCAGTGTCAGGGAAATATAGTGACATGGCGTGAAGGACACGGAACAATAGTCTTTGGCCACCCCGATAGCGCCTCCGAAACATTATATGGCTGGAGATAGTTCGCGGTACATCGATATCAATCTGGACATCGTCCGGTGATGAAATGAACTGGAGTTCATTGAAGGCTTCGATGAGCTCGTCCGCAGGTGCGCTGCCTTTGTGGCGCCGGGCACTGGCTTCAAGGAATGAGTACCAGGCCGTTGACCGCCACCGATCTGGAATGCCTTTCCAAGTTCGCTCGATTAACTTTGAGCTCTGAGTATCGAACTCAAAGGTCATACCGCCGCCGTCCTTGGTCTTCTTAGTCGGCTTAGCCATCTTGGTCCACTTGTCCTCACGTCGCCACTCCTTCCTTCGCATCGCGCGAGTAAGTGGTGCATCTTCTTTCTCACCAGATGGAGTGGGCAGAGTGAGCATGTCAGCCGCCTCATCTTTGGCTTTTCGGTCTCGGTTGTGAGGCAAATGATTGGTAGCGGCACGCATACGAGATGTCGAGCGGCGCAATGGCGGACCATAGTTGCTCTGTGATGAAGATGGACGCGCACTCATAGAAGTTTGGGATATTTTGCGGACTAGAGACGCACCATTGAAGGAACGGTTACTGGCTGGAGCGGTTGGTGGACGAATTGAACGTTTCCGGCGAGGTGTCTCAGAAGCTAACAGAAGGCTAGTTGTAACTCGCTGGAGCGGGTTAATATCGGAACCCTTGGAGTTCTTTGCAGGTCGAATGAAGCCATAACGATCGACTTCTTCTGCACCGACATTTTGCCAATATTCAGCACCACCTGCTAGCTCCTGTGTTTCCCTCTTAATTCGCATACGCTCCACTTCGCCAGACGCCCTTGGTTTGAGTTCATTTCCAGCCTCATCCGTCTGAGCAGAGTGTGTTTCAGAGGTTTCAGTATCCGGGACCGCACCCTCTTCCCACAAGACCCCGTTCTCTGAGGCCATTGCTCTCGCAACCTCGGAGTCGGTAACATTTTCTTCGCCCTTCTCATACATCAGCCTAACTCGCCGTGACAACATATCTTCGTCAGCCGAGATTGCTCTGCTGGGAAGACTAGTCTGTCTCGGGCGAAGAGTGCCTTGAGGTTTGGCGTGCCGTGGAACTGCTTTCGGTGTTCCGTTCTCTCCTTCTGGCTTGCTCATGGTAATGGCAGGGGGTGGCGCACTTTCAGATGTCTGTCGATCCAACTGTGGATCGCAATCCACATCCGATATTTCCTGGGCTGGTCGGCCTAATTCTTGACAGGGTTTCTGAAGAGGCTCCTCTTCTTCTAGCTTTTTGTGGGGCGAGTCTGGTTGTTCGGGCTGCTCTTCTAGCTTCTCCTGAGGTGTTTTTGGGCGCGGACGTTTCGCATCACTCTTGATCAGACTTCCACGATTGGAAAACTTCAGCGACTTATCCAGACCACCCAAAGAGGCCGTCGGTATTTCTAAGGGAATACCAGCGAAAGGGTGCTCGATTTGAGGCACTGGCGGAGCCTCTTCCAAGCTAAGTCTCCTCTCCATCTCGAGTGACCGTTTCCTTAAACCACCCCACTTTCTTTCTGACCATCGAGAGCCTGGCCTCGAGCCCGGCCTCGAGCCCGGCCGTGAGCCCGGCCGTGAGCTAGGACGGAAGTTTGGTTCATTCACCAGAATGCTGGGCACGCTGCGCAAGGAGGGCGCGCCCTCCGACCGAATCGTTCGAGTTTCGTCACCAACGGACACGGATGGCGCGAGCCGGGAGAACATAAGCACGGATGCACGATCATTACTCGGACCGGCTGACGCGGCGCTCGTGCTTAATGATCGGCCATTGGAGGCTATTGGCGCATCGGCTGTGGGCAACGAGCCCGACCGGATTGCAAGAGGGGCGTCAACGGTATTTTCAAAGGGCACGGCGTGAATCGTCGGATTGGACTCCGATCGATCGTGCGATAACGATACAGAAACCTCATTCACCATTATCCCGGCATGACTTGCGAATCTGCGCGTGGGCTAGAATCGCGTGAAAGAAAGGAGTGTAGGGACGAGGCGAAAGGGGTGGAGGCCAGATTAAGCGAAAATGGGGATCAAAGTAGAAAGGAGCGACAAGGGGAAAAACACAAGGGAAGTTCAGTAGAACAGAATCTCCAGAATTAAAATTGAGAGATACCTGGAGGCGTGGAGTTATTTTGGGTCGGTCTTGGCGCTCTCCAGGTCAGTTCTGGCCTTCAACGGGGCATCTTCGGAGTTTCCGTCATCTCCTGGCTACATGTAACACGTATATCTATGTAAATAGTATACGTATACGTGTTCAAACTATCTATGTAGCCTGACTATCTCCCTACCATCCTATGAGGGATTCTCAACGTCCCTCTTCTCCCTCATTTCCCCCTCAAAATAGATATCAAGGGGTTTGTCCCACCTCTATGGGCCGTGTGTGGATCGTGAGAGAACAAGGAGTGTAAGTGGAGTACGCTAGTTCGACTCCGTAAGGCGCTTACATTAGAATGACCAACGGTGGGATGTGACATGAAGAGGTAAGCTGTTTAATTGTATCCGCGTATACCCAACTATGGAGTACATGGAACAACACAGAGTATGTTGTAGATGCTATTGAAACCCTCAATCCCCCAATACGCCCCAGATGTACAAAACACGTGGAACTCCTGTAGCCGAGGCTTGGACAACCGGCCGTTAGCTGTCAATGTTCAATGTAGTCAAAAGGGGAAAATACCCCCAGCTAGAACCAACGTAAAAAAAAGTATCATAAGGGCGTGAAACGGTCAATGCAGTGACCCAGTGTTAAATGCAGCTCAACTCATAGCTGCTGACCCGATGGCGAGTCGCGACTTGGTCGAGTCCGATCCACAGGCTCTTTAGGCAAGAGTTCGATCTGACGGACCAGGAAGCTCTTCTCATCCATAAATTGATCGTCGTCAGTTCGGTCCTCCAAGAATTTAGGCAAAAACCTCAACAGTCGATCACGGTTATTGATCAGAATTCGTTGCACTGCCACCGATTTGGTCGGATTGGCAACAAACACCTAGTCCCTTATCAGAGCAAGCCCTCGTCTGTTTTCGGAGCCATTTGAGGGCAAACTTACCTTGAACACATGAAACCCTTCGTATTGTACCATCTTGCGATCGTCCCGCAGCAGTTTCATGCAGAGCTTGAGATTATCTCCACTCTCCACGTATGCCATCATCACGTTGTAGTTCGCACGGTCCAATAGGATCTCCCCCAGAAGTTTGATGCTTTGACGCTTGGTCACATACGAGTCCGAGTGGACCAGGATGTTATTGAACCGCCCGAAGAATAGTTCAAAATTGGCTGCGAGGTACGAGGTCACGAGGCTCTTATGGTGGGTCAAAATCTCCTGTGGAAGATATGCCAGTCAGTCACTTATTATCAACCTTGGAATAGGATAGATATCGTTCTGGAACTTACCCTGAATGTCGTGAACGCATCTGCGCTGACTTCGAAATTGCTCTTGTCGATCCAATCGAAAAATCTCCAGAACACACCATCTCCTCTCTGCGGCTGGTTGGGCTTCACATCGGATAGTCGTATGGCCGGTTCTCCTTCACTGGATTGATCATACAATACAATCGCAGTGATGACATCGAATTTCAATGCCTCTCGGAGAATGACACCACATGGCATTGCACTTTGACTCTGCATGTAGCCCCGGCATAACTCGACGATAATTTCTGGTCGATGGTGGACAAGGTATGAAATGACGGGAGGATCTTTTTCGGCGGCATATGAATTAGGTCGGAACCGAAGTATATGAGAGAACACGGTCTGGGTGTCTTTTCTGGCTTCGAAGGGAAGTAAATGGATGCTTTGGGCTAGATCAAAGAGTAGATCTTCCTGAAGGGTTGCTTGTACGAGTGCATGGACTTGATCCACAGACGCGGCGACCTCTAAAACAGAAAATTGTTGGGTTAATTTTACATTGCTCGTTGGGTGCTACTTCCAGGATACCCACCTGGTGTTCCTTGGACTATCACCTTCATTTGACTGAGTTGCTTAGCCAGCTCCTCTTCGGCCTAGTTCATTCATTAGTCGATTGTTCTCCCCATGCTGGATGTCTCCAAACGAACCTTGGGAGCATTCTGGGAGTCATGGATCCTCAGTAATAGCTCCTTGGTTGTCCGGACGATATCAGCAGGTTGCCGAGACCGGCCGCGATTGAAAAAGAAAGCCATGGTGAGATGGGAAGAATATGCGGCAAATTTAGAAAGAAACTGGAGATGAATGCGACATGGGATAAGTTATGATTGCAACGAAAGAATCAAGATCGAGTCCAAGGGGAAGCAAATGTGATGTATTCGATTGCAAGTTGCCCAGGTGCGAATAAACAAACCAGGGCGGGGCAACGGGGAACTTACCGCCTAGGCACACGCCGATAACGTTTTTTTTTTTTACGATAAGGTTGACCTGACTTCAAACACAGAAATATGATCATGATACATAGCTTAATAGCCAAATCCTTTGAGAGCTTGTACATAAACATGTCGTGACCCTCACAACACTTCATAATCCGGTTTCATTCTTTCTACCATGGAACCTGAACTTACAAAAAATGTCAGAAACTCTGAACATGACGAGCCGTGAGTCTTTCTTTCACTTCGACATTAATACCATTTTGCCATTTATAAGGGTACTCAAGAACTTACAAGCCCTAATTTAAACACGCCTGTTCTCTCTATCGAGATAGCACCTAGTATCACTGTCTCCCTCGATTACCCCTTGGGTATCCTCGTTACAGTTCGCCGAGAGGAAGATGGCATCAATAAGCCCTGCATTTTCCGATGGGACGTGCACTGTGACGCATGGGGTCCTTCGGGCTTTATGCTCTTCAAACATACACCAGAAGGTCTGAAAAATATCGAAGGAAATCACCGGTCCCCACCTCCCGAGACTTTGGAGTAGTATACAGAATGGGATGGGCATTTTGATAAGCTTCTTCCTGGCCAATGTCTCCGAAGGAACTTAGTTGACCTCCTCCCAGTTTGCAATCAGCTGGTCCCATGTGAGAAATAAGAGCTGCTCTAACCAGGCGCTGAATATGCTCAGGGTCGAGTTTGTTGTCGTTGACAACACATAAGATTCTTAGCATAGGCTTACTGCTTGCTATCTTATTTCCCGATCAAGACATCTATTCTGTAGTATAGATAGGTATATATACTCCGTAGTTATAATCTTAAAACCACTAGTTACTCCGTACAACTTAACTAATAAGTGAGGCTAACTAACCGATTATCATATCACGTGCATTAGTGGATCAGCGGTCATCCATGGATGGGTCCCATAGGTCAGATCAAATGTCGTCTCCGCTTTTTTTTTCTGTATCAAAATGATCTCTGCCCCTCCCTCCAAGGTTGAAACAATTTGTTATTGTCTTATAATTCATGTCAGCCTCTAATATCGTGAACCCACCCGTGGGTGAGAGTTTCCCTGACTCCCAGTCAGTATCGGATTCGTCCGATTCCAGCAACGAGGAGGGCTGGGAAGATGTCGAACCCGATGAGGAGTCGCAGCCTGTGGTTGGCCTTTTCACTAGCCAGGTCTTCCCCGATGCGCGCTCAATGCTGAAGGAGTGCAAGGAAAAGTACAATTTCGATCTGCTGAAGATTCAGAAGGACCTTGGTATTTCCAGCTTCTACTCCTGCGGGATTCAACAATTGAGGCTAACTTTTTTTTTCCGCTTTTAGATTTGGATTTCCTCGACAACATTAAGTTGGTCAACTACGTCCGTACTGAAGTCAAGAACGGAAACAAAAACCCCGATGTCTCTTCCAAGTCCAAATTCGAGGATGAGGTCTATCTCAAGCCCGTTTTGGAGGATGACGCTCTCTTGTATAGCTTGGACGACCTTACCGAAGAGCAGGTCGAACATGCTGTCCCCGCCACCGAGACAAACCGACAGGTTCTCGAACTCCAGGAGAACTTGGAGCGATTGCAGACCCAATTCTCCGAGTACCGTCTTGCTGTGCAGAAGTCGATGGATGACCAATTGTCGAAAGAGGATGATAAGCTTGCAGAATCCAACCCTCAGCCCTCGGCTAAGGCTGTCGACAGACTGCAGGATGCTGAAGATGGATATTTCGTATCTTACGCTTACAACGGTAGGATTCATCGCTGAACCTTCGATGCATATAATACTAACATAGTCCAAAGGCATTCATGAATCTATGCTCAAGGACACCATCCGTACCGACTCTTACCGCGATTTCGTCTACGAAAACAAGCACGTTTTCAAGGACAAGGTTGTTCTTGACGTTGGCTGTGGCACTGGTATTTTGTCTATGTTCTGTGCCAAGGCTGGCGCAAAGAAGGTCATTGCTGTGGACAACTCGAACATCATTGACCGAGCTAAGGAAATCATTCATGACAATGGCCTTGAAGATGTGATCACGTAGGGCTCATAATCATCCCGCAATGAAGAGACAGTACTAACTCATATTAGGTGTATCCGTGGAAAGATCGAAGAAGTTACTTTGCCCGTCGAAAAGGTCGACATCATCATCTCTGAATGGATGGGCTATGGTCTTCTTTTTGAAGCGATGTTTGATTCCGTCATCTACGCCAGAGATCGTTATCTCGCCCCCGATGGTCTTATGGCTCCTTCGCATGCTACCCTGCGCCTTGCTCCCTATGCCGACCCGGATTTCATCGCGTCGCACATCTCCTTCTGGAACAATGTCTATGGTTTCAAGATGGACAGCATGCTTCACAAGATCTATGATGAGGCTGTGGTCCGCAGCAACCAGCCCACGACTATTGTCGGAGAGTCTCAGATTTTCTTGACTCTTCCGCTGCAAACCATCACTGTCGAGGAGCTGTCGTTCCTGAAGAAATTCAAGGTCACATTGAACCAGGATATTGATGCCTTGGATGGATGGGCTATCTGGTTCGACATCTTCTTCATGCCCTCCAGAGAGTCCGTTCTACCTGAGAATGCCATCCCCTCAGATATGCAAAAGAAGGGAATTGTCTCGTTCACCACTGGTCCTGATGGAACCGAGACCCATTGGCAGCAGACTGTCCTTCTCATTGACCATGCCAAGGATCACGGTAAACAGGGTTCCCAGGCCTTGAAGAAGGGCCAGCTCATCACCGGCAAAATTGGTTACGAGAAGACGGAGAAGGGCTCTCGAGGAGTGGACATCAGTGTTCAGTGGGAGTCCGATGCGAATGAGAAGGGGGTTCAACTATGGAGCCTCGTATAGGATCAAGTGATCTTTTGATACGTTTTCTGATGAACTAAAAGAGATATGACCACCTACATAGAAAAGGACGGCCCTATTATCTAGGTGTCGTTTATTTGACCTAGTGAATACAAAATGATTCAGATTTAGGAACAAGCAATGTAATGGGTATCTTTGTCGTAATTCAGGTCATGATCTCGTATAAAAAAAATAGAACATCTAGGATTGATTCTTCGCTTCGGGGAGTTTTTCCCGCCTAGCAGTCTCAGGACGTTGATCGTGACGATGACTATGACTGCGATGAGAGGAGTGGTGATGAGAGCGATGATGAGAGCGATGGTGTGAGCGATCTCGACTTGAATCTTGACGGCGACGATGATGTCTGTCAGAACTTCTTCTGTTCTTCTCACGTTCTCTGTCTGGCGCATCCAATTTGAACCCATCGAGGCTGTTCACTGACGGGGATCGCCTTCGCTGATGGCTTGACTGCCGTGCCTCCTCGGATTTCAAATTTTCGATTTCTCTTCGCTTTTCATCATTCCATCGCTTCCGTTCCTGCTCTGTTGTTTTCAACTGACGCACACCCCGCTTTATGGCTGCGAGTGGGTCATTCGCACTCATACGAGCCTGTGTCCTCTCTTTGCGCCTTGGGTCCTCGTTACCCCACACATCTTTCTCGGGCATTGACCCTGGCGCTGTTACATCTTGTTCCGTAGAGGAATACCACGGTTTCTGACCAATAGTCTCCTTGAAGCCTGCGGCGTTGGAAAACCTCATTGTGTATTGGTCTTCATAGCTGCATTTCTTGCGTGCCGCTTCAGCCTCCGCTTCGATATTTTTTTCTGTTTTCGCACTTGCGGCTGGGAAAAGATTGATATGGCCGGCTTTGTCTAGAATCGGTGCTTGTGCTGTGTCAGCCTTGCGAGAGGCGAGCATCAACTCTTCCTGCTTAGCAACTGCTTGTGCCGCATCCTCCCGAGCGTAGCGTATATCTCGATCCGTGTCATCTTCCCCAGCAACTCGCCTTCTCTTACGAAATCCTCCAGCATCGCTGGCGGACTTTCTGTCTGACCGAGCCCCGGGTTCAGACGACAGATGGGAGGGCGCCGGTGGAGGTGTAGGCGGCCGTTCGCCGCGAAGAATTTTGATCCTGCGTTCGGCATCGACCTCCTGCATGATGCGTTCATCTTCTTCCTCGCGGGCTTTTGCTTGCGCCTCGTCGCGCCTGACGCGCGCGACATTATCGACATTGTAGACGTTCCATGACTTTTTGCCGAGGAGATGGCTATGAAATAATTAGCCGCTTTCGCAGATATCATAAAATCGAAAGAAATCCACTTACAGAGGCATCTTGCAAATTGGCTGACTGTTGCATGGAAGCGCTTGATAGCAAAGAGCTGGTCTTATCGATAATGACGTCCCCACGGGCCGACGCTGTTCCCGGGGTGGCCAAAGTGGCCCCGTCTACAGCTCTACGGTTCCAACCCTCTTCTCTTCCCTTCATGATTAATTTGCTTTGGATATCAGCATATATCCAGTAAATTCTTGGACATCACATTCTGAGAATTAATCCTAGGTCATCTGCGCTGCAGAGCCGACTGACTTATAGTTGCCTGCTCCTTTGCCGACACTGTCGCTAAAGCAATAGTTTCAACGGTTCTCCGGTCAACCTCTCTGATTAGCGACAATCGAACGGTTTATCATGTTCAATCGCGGCAATATCCCAAATCCGTTCAGTTCCAGCGGACAATCGTCCCCGCAGGGTCACTCGCACCCCAACCAAGCACCCCCACGGTATGATATCGACCGCTCCCCCTCAGGCTATGCGACTCCTATCCGCGATAACGATGTGCCGATGGCTAATATATATAATTATTTAAGCAGTTACGGAGGCCAACCTCCACCAGGAGGAAGACCCGCGCCGCAGATGCCTCCTAGGATGCAGTCCGGACAAAGAGGTGGGGGCCAGACTTGGACCCTTCATCCCAGCAAGAGTCCGAACGAAAACTACACATTTGGAAACCTGTGAGTATAATCTAGCTGCTTTGTCTTCTCGGAGACTAATACACAATAGTGTTGCTGTTTCGCCGCAGGACATCCCACCCTCACGAGATGGCACCGACGTCCTCCTCCTTATCAATGACCTCTTCGTCTTCTCTGCTCGCCCTCTCGATGGTTTCCCTCCCGGTTTTATGAGCATGTCGGATCCTCAGCGAACATGGGCCAACATTGGATTGAGGGATGCGATCAAGGTACAATTGTACGATCCGTTTAGCCAAGGCGGACAAGCCTACCTGGGCTCCGCGGATATTGAAGTCAGCTTCGCATCTACCAAGAAGAGAGTTGAAGCACCTTATGACCAGGATGAATTGGCACAGGCGGTGATCAGGGTAAGTCAACTTCGTCTCAGCCACGAATGTATGCTAATAGACCCTAGAACTTTGAGAACCAACTATTCTCACCTGGCCAGAGAATTCTGATGGATAATAAGAGTATCCCACTCTTACTGCAGGTCAAGACCGTTCAGCGGGTTGATTTGACATCAGAGAAGGCCGATCTCAGTTCTGGACAAGTCGAAACCGATCCTTCAGCCAGAGGTATTCTCACACGGCACACCCAACTCAACTTTTTCAAGGATACCCAGACTGGTATTAACGTGAAGCCATCTAATCGCCGCCCGGCGGCTAACTCTATCATCCAACCGGGCTTCAAGTTCCAGGA